ACTTGTGTTTTATTTAAAAACCAAATTAAACTGTTATAAACTATAGGCTGTGAATACAACCGTATTCATTGCTATAGGTTTAAATGTTGTACAAGAGAATTTGGTCATATCTATATATTAATTTGAATAAATCTAATAAAAAAATAATATTAATACACCATGAAACTATTGATCACGTTTCTTAGATGAATAACTTACCAACATATTATTATGTTTCTGTCTGTTGTCAATTATTGTTAGTTTCATTAATTTTCTGCCTAAATTTATATAAATTTTACTCATAATTTTGTTTTTATTCGAAGTGCTTTTGACAATTAATATTAGCTTAAACCTCTCTTTTTTGTTTCTAAACTGCTACATTTTCCGGGGGAGGACCCCCGGACCCCCCCCCCCGTTTGCTGGGGGTATTCCGTGCCCCCAGTGTTTGCCCCCCCCCCCAAGGATTTGGTGAAATGACGCCACTGCCTTGACATTCATAGTGGCGTTTTGCGTTTGAGAATGAGAGAACGCTACACTTCGTGATGAAAAATGCTGTCCAAAATTTTTGAAACTCAACCCGTTTTTAGCAGAATTAAAATAGCTCCTCTTCAAAGATTCAATGATGACCAACTTTCTTTATAACGGTTTAAAAAACTTGAATTCTAATTTTACAGTTGATCGCTAAGTTTAATGTTAAACCACAGCCGTAAACAAGAGAAAAAAACAGTTGATGAAAATTGGGTTTTTAAAGGCTACTTTTAGTGGTGATTGTAACCTGGGACACCTTTGAAGCCTAGTGTGAATGTACATATTTACTAATATAAGTTATGTTATTGCATTCGTTATTGCATTGTTATCGTATTCGTAAATATAGAATAAAGAGAAGCCGGAGCATCCACTCTATATTCTACTCAAATGGTACCTTGGCCGCGGGGTGATAAGAGCGCCATCGATACAGTGGTCCGTGAAGTTGCCAGGAGTGACTGTACGTACACGGACTGACGGACTGTACGTCGGCACTGTCGGCAGCAGGTGTCGCCACCATTTTAGTGGCCAGACAGGCGGGGGCGGGGGGCATTGCAGTATGGAGCCCGTTAGTCGTGGTCACGTGGTCTGCTGGTCTCACTCTCACAGTCACAGTGACGCCACTAGCTGCGTGCGCATCCGCTCAAAACCTAACAAAAGAACCCACCCCACGGCCACAGTCTCCCTCGTGATTTGAATCAAATCTGACGTGCTGTTATTCTCATGTTCATATTGCTGTAATGCTGTATTAGGTATTTTGTATAATCAGTGGCTTTATTAACGGTTTATGCTTGCCTGGCGTTGATTTTCATTAGTTAAACAATGTGGAGTGCCGATAGTGACGTACCAATTGTTGAGACAGTATATGCCAGTGATGACACCTCAACTCACAAACCGGGAACTAGAGAGAAGAAAGAAACTTTTGCAAAGAAGCAAGAGGAGCAGTTGAAGAGACTAACACAAGTTATAGATACAAATACAACCGTCGAGGATCTCATCCATGAAATAGAGAAGCGACCTTCTATTTGGGACTACAGAGTAAAAGGTTATGCAAATAAGATTGATAAACTGAATGCGTGGAACGAGATTCTGGCTCATTTTATACCCGAATTTGAAAACAAACCCACTGAGGAGAAGAACATTTTGGGTGAGTAACTTTAAGACATCATTTACAATATTTACATTACTATATTAAGTCTTTAAGGTATCAAAATGAAATTCCACTCACGAGGAGGATGGCGGCCATCTTGGACAGTTTCAAACAGCGGCTGAAGAGTTATTTATCGGCCAAAAATATTTTTTTGAACACCAGTGTAATTTTGATGCAAATATCTAGTATACTGTGATAGTAGAAATTTGTGTTGTTGTTTCCAATTGTTACAAGTTAGAACGCATAGGCTGCAATGACTCTTAAATCCGCTTTATTTGCCATAGAAGAATGCACTTTCATCACTTATCTGCAAATCTGTCCCTTACTTTGTTACCTATCTTCCTTTCTTTGATGGTACCTGCTTACTACGCTCGACTAGCGACAATAAATTATGGAGTGTAGCCTACCTACATTATTTTAACAAGGTATTCACTCAACTTAAGATCGACATTTACCAGTAGGCCTACATGATTGCTGTGGTTCAGGAATTATCAACTTGTTGATTTTGTTTGCTAGTTTTGGAAAAAGCGCTTTCCTTTAATATTGAGTCTGAAAATTTTCCGTAAGATCCAAAAGGTCAAAAAAGATTAATCTATCGATAAAAGAACAAGAAATAGCTTTTTAGGTTAAAATATAGTTATCCTCTCGCCTCAGGTTTTACAACTCATGTTTACACCGTAAGCAGTGATGAGGGAAGTTTGTTTTCTAAAGTATCTTCAGCAGAGAGAGGTTTCAAGCCAAAATTTTTCTGTTGTTTCTGGAAAAATATTGGCTTAGCACGTTTCCAAATAGGTAGCCTTGCATATTTGACAGACAATTAACGGTAGCCTACATCACAAACAACATACATCAACAATTTTTTTTTATGATAACATCTTAACATTCAAGTAGTATGTCTACTGTGTATCAATGGATGCACTGTGTTCAATATGCGTCTACCCACTAATTATGATTTTTAAAGATACCGGTACCGGTAGTTTTCTTGTACAAATAGATACTTATGGGGACCCATAAGTCTATGGCCATAGACTAATTGAATATCCTTCTATACAAATTGAAGAACCAAAAGCAGGCTAGATAAAGGTTTTGTTGTAATTCAGTGTTTTTTACTTTTGACCTTGTTCCAGGGAGAGTGGCGGGTGACGGATGTGTAGTTATTTTGAACTTGTACATTCTTTTTTTAGATGGACAATTGTCACTGGTTTTTGTGTATTACTTGTTCATATTACACACTGCGGATACGTTAACTGCGTCCTTCTCGATTACTTAAATTATTTTTCCTAATTTGAACAATGAGCTAATTTGATCAGCATTCGGTTCCAATTACTTCGGGTTACCCGATTAAGTGTGCATTTATAATAAAGAAAAACAATCCTAATACCTATGTAATTTTTCTAATAAAAACCTTTTTCAGTTACGATCGTGCAAAAGAAATGGAAGGGTGTTCGCAGCTGCTATACTCGTGAGCTGCTTAGGAAAAAAAACGAAAAAAGTGGTTCGAGAGCAGCAAGCAGGAAACAATATGTTCACTTTGATCAACTCAGATTTTTGGAGGCAGTACCAAAGAAAACGGAGAGCAGTATGGCTGCAGAGGAGGCTGGGGAAGATGATAATGTCGAAGAAGAGGATCCAGACGCTCTTCCCTCAGATTGCTCTGATACGCAATCGCCACTTGACACTTCTTTTGTGGAACCGAAGCCAGTCAGGAAGAGGGAATACAGAAATAATAGTGATAACGAACTATTTACTGTACTCTTGAAAAAAGCCCTCCAGAATGACAATGATGATGAAGACAAGCTTTTCCTTTTATCATTATTATCGGAAATTAAAAAGGTTCCCCCACAAAACAAGTTACAGTTACGATCTAATATCATAGCAGTAATAGCCCAAGCGCAACAATCAACTCAACAACAGTGTCCCCCATCACAACCACTTGTCAATCAACTCTTTTCAAATTCAGGACCATCTCAGCAATCCCAACTGTACTACGATACCCCGAGAACACCCCCATCCCTCCGCAACCGCAAATCGTGGAACTCTCAGAGTGATAGTAGTTGTTAACTTTAAAGCATCCAGAGCCTTCTTTAAATTGATCATATAAAATGTTTACCTTTATTACAAAAAAATTACATATTTTTCTTTTTATTAGAATTAGGTATGAATAAGTATTTTTTTAATTCTGTACAGCTCTGTTAATAAAATGTAATACAGTATCCACATTTTTATTTTTCAATAACCAATCAAAGTTAAATAGTAACCAAATGCTTTATCTACACGATGCAGATACACTGTAATTATACCATGAACAATGAACATTTAGTACACTTTATTTACTTGGTTTGTAAAAATAATGTGTTAGATTAGCAAAACTAGGATTGGATCCAAACAAATAAATTATTTTTGTTTTAATCCAATACTACCAGTATATACATGTTTAAATGTTATTTACCAATTATATTGACCTATTAATTTGAGAAGGGGTTGATTTGAGAAACCTTTCATGGAAACTAAGCATCATTATGCAGCAATGTGTAGCCTATGTAGGAGAATTAGGACTCTTAAAAATCATCAATCCAAACAAGGAACTTGGAATATTTAAACATTTTAAATCTATTTCTTATTTTATTAATTTATTGTAACTTTTAGTTTACAATACTCGGTTTTCCTATATTTAATCAATCTTTAAGAATAATAATTATGATAGTAAACTGTGGCCATGTTCAGGCTAGTTCCTTTTATGAATTAGAAGGATGCAATGATTGTATCCAAAGCCAGAACAGCTGATCAGATGACATTTCTGTATCCCAGGCCATATAATAGTCTCATTACTTTTACTCAATTTCCATATCAGGACTAATACCAAGCAAAGCACTTTCTTATATCAATCTACACAACTGCACTCACCTTCCCTTTGAAGTTTCAAAAGAAGGAATTCACTTGGTATCTAAATACGAAATAAAACCAGAAGTCCCTCTATTTAAATAAGATTTTGTTTCTGCTGTAAATATGTCAAACCAATCTCTACTCTAATCATGCAACTTTGATAAATGAATGAAAGAGACACAATGTTTTTTTTTATCACAGTTACTGTCATTATTTCTTAAATCTAAGCCTATTATGAATAATTAAAAATAATTATTTCTTCTTGAGAACTTACCGTAGCAAATTTATGATCGTTTTTGCTTTTGGTTTGGTACACTAAATGAGACCCTAATAAAAATGTTTCAAAAATATAATTATAATTGAAATATGTGGCAAATGTTTAAAAGTTGGCAAATTAATAAACAATACCGTAGTTTAATTACAAATATTTATTTCACAGAGCATCTCATTCAATGATGGAAGGAATGCCCAGTTTACAGTGCACAATAAACATGTGTAAATCATCTTAGTTATAAACTAAATTTATTCTCTATTTACAAATTAACAAAATATAAACATTTTAAATAGCTCTAAGTAATAAATCTATACAATATAAAACAACATTGAATCAATTACATATTCTATTAAAACTATAAAAGTCAATATGACTAGGATATCAAAGTCAGCTGATAGAATCAGCAATTATTATTGTATGATTAGTGTCGATAATTGTATAACAATACAATCATTGTGAACAGGTTTGTAAATGCGTTAAGTCAGTCTCGTTACACTAAATAATCTTTATCATTTGGCACCTTTAATAGCCCAAACTGATTAAAATATATAACCCTCAACTGTTTGTTATGCTTAATTTTTCATAACTACAGTTTTTAAGTACATTATGGCCGCACGGTAAAAAATTAAAACTAAAAAGAGAAAAAAATTAATTAAATTACGTCAGTGGTTCGCTCAGGAAAATATATAGTGTAAATTCTTAGTTGGTAATTGCATGTAAAACTACACTATTTTGCATTAAAAATATAAACGATTACTAGTAATTTTGTATACAAAAATTTGATACAAGGGTTTGTTACAAAGTGTTCTTACAATTATGGACGGAAAATATTGAGCAAACAGTTACAAACTTGCATTGAGCTATTTATAAAACAAACTGCTCTCCTAAGAAATAAAGATAAACAATATATTTACAACAATACATCTTGCACACAATTCGTTAAATTTTTATTTTAATTGGGGCGAGCTTGTTTCTGAACGCAACCCGTTTCGCAAACCGTTGAAACGCCTCCATTAGTTATGATGTCTAGCTTAAGGTAGCAAGGAAATTTAATCCTCATTATAATTCAATGAACCGATTTTAAAATAAATTCTTAAATAAATAGAAATGAAATTATGATCTAAATGTAAAAAAATATGTAGTGGGGACTTCATTGTATTTTTTTTTTTAGAAAAAAATATTTTTACCAATCAACTTTTGGGAAATCACTTGCAAATTTGTTAAAATGGGTATTTTTCATACATTGGCTTAGGGTTCTAAAATATAAAATGCAAATTTTCTACAAATGGACGTCAACGAAAATGCAGGGTGACCTAATTATATTCATGAACATAGTATAGACAATATCGGACGGTATATTATATTTTATGGACCTTAATCATTCACATTATTTAAGCATCTCTGGCACATATATACAATCACATTTTTCACATTTAAATAGTCAATCATTCGTTCGCAATATTCACACTATGACAAGTACAACCTTAAAGTGTTATGGCATGTGTGAGTCATTATTTAACTGTCTTTGAGCATATTCGATCGTGTAAGTAATCTAAGACTTAGGTTCACTTATGTCTAACAGAGTCACTGTCACTTAGTGTATCTGTTGAACACTATAACTCGGTGGTGGTCTCGATGGGTGATCTGTCGATGAGATAGTTGAAGCCCAGGTGGGAGTAATCTTTCTTTTCTCGGAAGGTAACGTTCTCGTTGGTTGAGCTATTCAGCCCCCTCTCGTCATCCGACCTGGTGATTTAAAACAAATTTTTATTTTTAAGCACAAATAACTCTTCTGTTTGTTACTAACATAAGCTATTTAGGAAAATAATAGTATGGTGTACCGGTTTGTGGGAGTTTTTACATTTTAATACAGTGTTAATATGAATCAAGGTTAGAAATATGTAGTTTATAAAATACAATCCATTTTTATAACTAGAATTTGTTGTTTCCATAACAAACTAGACATTAGCTGCGGGCTACTACAATTGTAGTACCTTAAGCACTAGCACTGCACGCAACCGACTATAAATGTAGCGCTGCGCTCCCCTCACTAACATTGCCTCGGTGTGAGCCCAAGATTCGTGGGGGGGGGGGGGGAGCGTTGTTATTGTAGCCGCAAGTAGTGCCAGTTTTGTACGTCATTTTGTTACAATTTGTTTTTGGATTGAACATTTTTTATCTCGCTGTGTCAGTGCTTTTTGAGCAGTGTAGTGTGGGGTTTTCACTTAGATTTAATTACATGGAATAGGATAACAATAATGACTGCGAGTGTAGCATTGTGAAAAGGAACCCAACCTCAAAATTGTCGATCACAGCTTTTGTGTCAAAGTACTCTACAATATTCCAGTATATGCGTATCATTTTCATTATTTAACAAGAAACAGAATTCAATATTATAGGGTTGAATGGTAATCAAATCCAGAATATACCTTTACAAAACCTTTGTATTATTTTACTTCATCAAAATGGCCTACATTAGATTGTGAACTTAGTTTACTAAACCCTGCTCTGTACGAGGTGTCAGTTGTTTAACAACACTCACTTGTCATACACGGGGTTGATGATGCCCGGGTTGTGTATGTTGTTGTTGTTGACGTTGTCGTGTCGCCCTATCAGACTGGACGCTCTGGTGGTGGTGGCAGCGTCAGAACTGACTGGGCTCTGCTGGCCTGTGAATAACAGGTAATGTCAAGGAAGGGTTGTAAAATTTTCATGCGTCAATTGTTATGCGTTGTTATGTTCATGCGTCAATCAATCAAAATATTTTTTTGTAAAAAGGATTGTTTTTACATGTATTACCATTCTGGGTGTCACTCATTTAGCAAAGTGTTACTCTATTTTTATTTAAGGTTATTTTAGACAACAATATTTATATACTCAAACAATGAATTTTATCAAAGAACAAAATTAACTTTTCATCTTTTCCAGCTATTTTACTTTGCTCATGACTGACTATACTAACTCATTTAAGAGTAAAAAAAATCCAAATTGTGTTTCCCTTTTGTTACTTTTTTTGTACCTGTCTATAAAAGCTTTTAAATCAAAAGACACCTAGATTACTAAAAATCCTCACAACGGGAGTTCGGAAAATAATGAATGTTTTTTCATAACAACATATAGTTAACATATATAGCTATGGACACTTGCATAGCTTGGCGGGTATTTTTTTCAAATATTGCCAATGATGATTTACTTATGAAGTTGTTATAGAAGAGTGTTATAATGAGTTATAAGTTATAAGGAGCTATTATAAAATAGGGGACTTTGGGTGTATCTATGATCTAATCAAGTCTGTTCAATACAAGGTTTAGTTTTGAAACCCACCTATGCTGTCACCATTATCTTTGGTTATGTAGCTCACATTGTCTAAGGTAAAAGCGTGGTTTTTCCGGCTAAAGTCTAGCTGGAGATCATTGTAACTCTCGTTGTCGTCCACTGGCACACTCATTTGCAACACCTGTAAGCAAATAATTTGTTTTTAATTTTATGCACAACACAACTATGGGGTACCTACCTACAGTAGAATGTCCCGTTGGGTTCTGGACCAAGTCAGATAAAATGGTCAAGTCAGGAAACTCTCTGATTCTGAACATTCTACTTGTCATACATTTTTAACATTTATTTCTTGGCTTTCGGAATTATTTTCAACACATACATTAATTTGGCTAACTGTTTTGTGCTATTCAAGCCATCGAAAGTCCGAACAAAACATAATCCAAATGAAAGGATTTGTGCTGTGTAGTCTGTATGTAGAGATAAGCTTACCATAGAGTCACAATTTGGTCATATAACTAACCTGAGTCTCATACTCCTTGAGGTTCGGCTCTACATACACTGGATCATATCTAGGAACAACATACACCCTGTTCATCCTGTCTTTGTAAGCTTTGTATCTGAAACATAGAAGTTACACTTGAGTTATCTAAGATTGGATAATTATTCAAAAAGGTTAATTGATGACAAAAAGTAAAAGAACAAATTTGACCTGTTTCATTATTTACAAAAAAAGTACAAAGCTAACGTCAATCTTCACCCACCTAGACCAGGATATACAGATGTAGATGATGCCAGTAGTGCCCAATATAAGGATGAGTGCAGCAATGATGATGAGAGCGTAAGGGAACACCTCCCATTGTACAGCCACTACAGCAGTACGCACAGGTGTCACGGTGACAGGCGCTTGTATGGTGGTGACTGGCACCTGCAGCACCATAGACACCTCCTCGGTGATGTTGGTGAGCGCTTCCGGGCTCAGAAGTGACCTGGGGAAGAGAGAGACTTGAAATATTTATCAAGGTATAGAGGAAACACACTTTGGTATTTTGTGTCGGAAATGTACCTATGACGAGCAAGGAAGAGCCAAAACGACAAGCACTGTGCGGAAATTCCTATCGCAGAGGAGAACGTTTAATTCTAGTTGACCAGGTGCTCTGATAACACGATACATTGTGCCAGCGGATGGTAATATAGTTTCAGTTAAGGTCTTTTAGTTGGGTAGCTGAATTAGTGGCCATACAAAAGTAGCCTTTTACCCTCTTTTTCCCCCCAGGATCCTAAAGTAAGAACACAATAATACACCACAACGTGATGTAGGCAATATCTGTGTTGAATGATTGAATGATGTGGCTCACCTCTTCACCAGAGTGCTGTTCCTGGCCAGTATCTTCTCTGTGGATGGGTCCACAGTGTAGAACCACAAGTCAGTGGATGCCTGGTCAGTCTCCAATGTGATGTTGTCTTTACTCCACTGACGTGCGGCAACACGCTCAACTCCCACCATCACTCCCCCCACTCCCTCCAACAGACCCACCAGTCTCTCCCCCCACCCCTGCACCTCGCCTGCTCCCTTGCCTTCTATCACCATCACCATGCGACTACCCTCTTCTATTAGGTTGATCTGTGGAAAAAACAAATTATGTAAAACAATGAATGGAAATTTAAAAAAATGCTAGACAAAAAGAAATATGCCTAGTAGGTTTTCACCCTTCCCCAATCGGTTAGATTGGTCTTGTGGCGGTCAACCGGATCCGCAAAAATACCTGCTTTCAGTCCTCAATATCTACAACTAATATGTGCATATCTGTCATCCATCCTTTAATAACAAAAGATAAAGCGATTCATCCATCATTAAGAGTAAACATTTGTCACTTCTAAAAACAAAGAAAGCAGCTTATGAGAAAATTTAAAAATAGTTTTCGTTAATCAAACCTTACCAGTCACTACACTGAAAAACTGTTAAACCCAACTAATCTATCATCTTCATTGCAGTACTGTTGATAATTTTTTACTCACAACAACTTCCGTCTGGACGGCATTGGAGTCCTGAGGGTCAGCAGGGTTATCCCTTGCCTCCACAGTCAATCTCAGAGGGAGCTTTTCTTCAGGGAAGTCCAGGACTCTCTTGGTCCGGATGAGTCCGGAGCTGGAGTCTATGGCGAAGTAATCTGCGATGTTCAACTCATCCGGGACGAGTTTATACTCCACCTGGCCCAGACCACCACTGTCCTTGTCTTGTGCCTGGTAAAGGATAGAGGATGAATATCTTATAGTGGAAGCATATCGCAGTAGGAAGAGAAAACATATTTACTCTGGCTTGTTTGTAAATCTAGGTGAACACAGGAAAATATTTTACTAGAGTTTGTCGTAATTCATGTAATGCACTAGAAAACAGATTAATTTAATTTTCAACACTTCTTTTCTTTTGAAGCCTCTCGTATACCTTAGTATCCATCAGAATAGTATAGCTTGTAGTTTTTGTGGGTAGGTGGAGGGTGCGGGGGTCCTCCCCCGGGAAATTGCTGAAAATTATACCTGTAAATCCAAGTTTTTAGGCTATTTAGGGACAAATAAAAGAGATTTTTTTGATCGGATTTTTGGATGTTTTTAGTATTAGTAGTATTACTATATTGGAATAAAGGAATGGATATTACATTGCCATCAGGTAATTTAGTAAGCTAAAACCAACTATCTGATTAATTTACATGTGATTTTGAGTTTTACACAAAAAACAATATTGGTATTTAAGAAATAAATAATACAATTATAATTTTAGCAGTGTAAATGTAAATAAATACACGTAAATCAAAAATATGACAGTAAAATAATCTGTATCAGCTGTTTTTGTTAACTTCAGCTACAAAATAGTATTACGTTACTAGCCCGGTAAGTGGTGTTTACCGTGCGAGCGTGACAATTACCGCACGAGACGTAGCAGAGTGCGGGATTTTCGTGCGAATACGTTAAAGACGGTGACAGACTATCGATCTTTTTCCCGAACAAGACCCCGAACCGAGCAGGGACACGGGAGAAGGGAGGTCGAAGGGAGCATGTTCGATAGTTTGTCACGGGTCCGTACACCACACCGATTCAGACGGCGAACCAGACATCAGGCCGAGCAGGGAGACGAGCGCTCTGGAGGCGGTTTTTTGGCGAAAGATCAAAGAAAAGATCGGTCCGATGTACGGAGTGATGTACGATAGTGTGTCACGGTATATTTTTGCCCCGTACATCGTCGCGAGCGCCGCACCGAGCAGCCGCCTGCGCTAGCGTTGATAGTTCTAATTTAATATGGCAATTAAACTCTTTAATTGCTAAAATAAATAAATGTTGGGTAATATTTTGCCGTTATATATTATGGACATTTATGTTGTAATTTTGTTGTGTGTTTGGTCAAGGTTGAAAATGTATTTTACAAGTTGAAACCATTAAATCAATGATACCAATGATGTTTAACTTAAATTAAGTAATTGATGTTATACTTTAATTAATACAAAATTAATATAAAAATAAAAATTGTTTACATTTTAAAATGTAACATGTTAAAATGTCAATCGAAACTATCATTCTGTAACATGTTATTTCATGTTTTATTACTGTTTTATTATTGCCGCCTACGCGCTCTCACTCACACACGCTCTCCATCTCTCTCTAAACTCCCTTTTACCGCGCTCGGGGGCTCGGTAGAACTTGTCTGGTCTTGGTCTTGTTAGGGGAAATGTTCGGATTGAAAATTTGCAGATTTTGTGTTGTTATTCATATGTGTTTGAAAACATATGGTGTTAGAATATTATTTGTTTAGTTTTTGTTGGTAAACATTCTGAATCTGGTTTATATTGTAAAAAGCTACCTAATAAAGTATTTGTCTTATTAAAACTATATTTTAATATAACTTGCGATAACACTACATGGTGGCAGCGGGCTTTTTATTGTTTTAGCAATATACAGTACATGAAGATGAAAAGTTTTAGTGTTCCTACCCCAGAACATTTTGATTTTAAAGGAGAAAGCTGGTCTAAATGGAAAAGATGGCTTCTAGATGCGATTTTCCTGCTTCTTATAAAGATGAGGCTATACGAGATCAACTTGTTGTAGCGATTAGAGACAAAAGTTTATCTGAAAAACTACAAATGAATGCAGTGATCTTCTGTTCCTCCGCAAACAACCATCTTGCGTTTGAATTATATAGGATCGAGGTGCAGGATGTTTGTTTAATATAGTTCCTTCTTGATTCCTGTCCTTTATATGGACTTGAGCTCCATCAGGTAGAGTAGGCAATTCTGTGGCTCTATATGTCTTTTTACAAAATGCTACTTATGTTAAGAGCATAACCCCTCTGGAAAATGGGAAAAGTCCAGCGGAATTACTTTTCGGGAGAAGGATCCGCACTTATGTTCCGATAATGTCTGATCAACTAATACCCTATCTGGTAGACACTGAAAAGTTAAGGGAAAAGGAAGAAGCAAGAATTGATCGTCAAAAGATTTATTTTGACTAAAGACATAGAGCCACAGAATTGCCTACTCTACCTGATGGAGCTCAAGTCCATATAAAGGACAGGAATCAAGAAGGAACTATATAAAACAAACATCCTGCACCTCGATCCTATATAATTCAAACGCAAGATGGTTGTTTGCGGAGGAACAGAAGATCACTGCAAAGATTTAGCACTACTATGCCTTCTGATCACCCAGCACTGCAGACCAGTCCCTCAGAAAACCTGAGAAGATCAGAACCATCGCAGACAAATCCTTTAGCGAATCTAAGAAGATCAACAAGACAATTCAAACCTACCCGGAGGTTCGATCTTTAAAGGGGAGATGTGTTGTTATTCATATGTGTTTGAAAACATATGGTGTTAGAATATTATTTGTTAAGTTTTTGTTGGTAAACATTCTGAATCTGGTTTATTGTAAAAAGCTACCTAATAAAGTATTTGTCTTATTAAAACTATATTTTAATATAACTTGCGATAACACTACAGATTTTTACCTCCCTTCTCCCTTCTCCCTGCTCGGTTCGGGGTCTTGTTCGGGGAAAAAATCCAAAATTCAACGATATCAACAAAACAGCACATAGTGCGAGCACGTCAAGGTCAAGTGAGCATTGGAGTAACTAGCGGCACTAGTCTAGCCTAGCGCTGGTCGCTAATGGCAACGGCACGGGAGCATGTAGGCTGAGGCAGTGCCCAGGCAGTGGCAGTAGCATTGACAATCACTACACTATGGAGACAGACGGGTAAGCCGTTCTGTCTCTATCTGTCTGCATAGGCCTAAAAAATACTCGTTACAAAACGCGTACTCCTTGCTGTATTTAATTTAAATCCTGTTGTAAGAATAGTTTTAAAGTTAATGATATTTTAAAAATTACATTCTGAAACATTTATGTATATACTGCTGACTCCTGGCCATTGAAAAAAGTTAACCCTAGGTCATTGGGGGGGCCTTAAGCCCCCAAAGCCCCCTCCTGGGTGCGCCACTGGATAAATTAATCTCACTACCCAATCTGGAGCCAGAGAAAGGTAACAAGGTCTGTGATATTCTAGTGAATGAAGTTAGCCTATATTTATGTAAAACCATTTGTTTAAAAATGTGTCTGTAATTGTTTACCTTTACTTGCAATACTGATCCACCAATTTCTTTTCGATCTTTTGCAACTGCTCCGTAATATTTCTTTTTCTTGAACCGTTTGCTTGTTTCTGGATAGATGAACTGAGGAGGATTGTCGTTTAGATCTTGAACATGAATCTTAACCTGAAAGTAGTGTGACATATTAATACATTTACATATATCACTTCATTTACCAAAGCAATTGTATGCTACAAATTTGAATTGTAAGGTAAAATTCTGCTATAAGATCCTAGCATAAAATACAAATTTCTTGAACAATGCTATTGAGTGACACTAAACTTAAAACTTTTGTGGAAACATTTTTATAGGCCAGACATTGTATTTTTTAATACATTTTGTATGTTTCTTACCGTGGTAGCAGTGCGTGAAGGGTTACTCAGTCCTGCCAAAGTATCCAGCTGCAATTTCAATACATATTCTGGCTGCTTCTCATGGTCCACCTTGCCAGCCAGTCTCAGTTCACAGTTTCGGTCCTCTGTTATGTCAATTTTAAACATGCCTGCAAAGAACAGAAATGTGAAATTGCTTAAAGTGAATTTCCACAGAAATTTATTTATAAAATAAAAATAAGATCAAGCACTCTGTTTTTAGCGCTGGAGTTCGTCTTCTTTGCCCTTAATGAATTTTTTTTCAAATTTTGTTTCTATGATGCTGTTTTTTCTGCAAGATAAAATTTTACACCAAAGATTACTATATGAAGCCCTTGGGTGGATGGGAATTTAAAAATATCACAGAAACTTCTGTCCAACATTGCTTGGAAGTTGTATTGGTATCATTGGGGATGGTTATTAATTTTAATTACCTGCGTAGAAAGAACAGGTCAACAGTTAGTTACTTTCAAAATAATCCGGGGTAGTGAAACTGTTAAGAGGACTATACTATGTGTCTTCAAACTTTTGACTGAATAACCACTAAAATCCAAGGCAAAGTTCCTGAATCCGTGCTAATCAATACCTTAAAAGCTACAAACACTTACCAAACCAGATTGTTAAGTTAAAAACTTACCGACTTCATTACCACTGGTGATGGAGCACCGGAAGGGCACTGTGTGAGACTGTACTCTGCCGTGGATCACGTTGAACACCTTGACCAAGGCTCCTGAGGGAGTGTCTTCCGGAACCTCCAGGGTGTAGAGGTCGTCAGAGAACCCGAGTCCAATGTCAGGAGGAACTGTGGCAACGTGACGGATGAACACCGGCACCGAGATGATAGAAGAGAGTTGAGGATCCCCAAGGTCGTAGGCTCTTACGTCCACCTGGTGATAGAGGGTTGTGTTGCATTACAAGTTTCAAAGTCACTTCATGGAGTTGTAAGTCGAAACAGTTGGTTAAATATAAATACACGTTTCATTGATGCAGTGAGATAAGAGTCAGCTTGGCTTATTAATATTTTTTGTATACTGTGTTGTTTTAAGAAGAATATTACTCAAACTTTCTTGAGTTCCTTTGCTAACCTGATGAGCAAATACAGTTATGAAAGATTTTTACAAACTCGATTATTTGGTTAAAGGTGTTTGACAAGATGATGATTTGACTAGTAATTTAAAAGGAATCATTTTGAAAGAAGGCAAAGAATTTTTTCCTGTTATGTAGAGTGCTAAAACAGATATTACAAAGTCACAATAGTATAATGTGAAAGTGTACATGCTTAACATTATAGAACAACCTGCAGGTCAGGGTCTAGTAACAATTTTGATTTCCCTTGTAAAATAGTTTGTAGCCATATGAAAATTACCTTGATCTACACAAATCAACAACAGAGTTATATATCCAACAAAACTGTTGAGTTTTCATCATGTTCATATTACCTGATATTCGTTGTCAGTTTCCTTTCTCAAATCATCTCTCACATGGATATCGCCAGAGTCAGAATCAATCTGGAAATATCTTGGAGCCTTGCCTCGACCAACAATCTCATAACGAACCTGTAAATATAAAAGTAACAGTAAATCTTCAACGTAACATTCAAATTAAATGTTTTACACGATGATACATTTGAACAGCATGTACTTACTATTGTAGCTGCGTTTACACAGGGCCAGTTGGTGGACAGGTTACTCAAGTAGTTTGAAATACTTTATAAACAAGTAACCTGTCTGCTCTACGGGCCTCAAGTAAACGCGGCTTATGTAACTCCAAAAAACTCATAGGTACATTTGCCGGTGAAATTTCAGAATACTTGATATAACTTTCAATGACATACATTTCACTCCCTACATACTAGGAGCAACACACTGATTCACATCTTGAACTGATTTGGTCTCATATTCACCCACCTTGTTGCCAGGGGCTGTGCCATCAGAGTCTGTAGCAGTGACAGTGGTGACGTGAGTGCTGATGGCGACCTCGTCGTCCAAGGTGATGGGACGTGGTAGCGTGAGAAACACTGGCGGAATGTCATTGCGGTCCTACAAGAGTACAAGTAATACCCAGTTAATCGAAGGTTATTCATCTAAATCATTTTGTTCTGTGCTTAAATACTTTTACATATTCAGAAAACTGTATTTTTGGCTTACATGCAGTACCCTACTGATTACCCTAGATCATATGTTGAATCTCATAATCACCTGCACGTAGATGGTCACTTTGGTGGTGGCCCCAGGCTTGTTGCCCATGTTCTCCTTGGTCCCGACCACCAGGGTGTGTTGGCTCTCCCTCTCATAGTCCAGCCCCTGCAGTGTGCGGATTACTCCTAGCTGAGGATCAATGGTGAACAGATCGGTGGGGCCTTGGCGGATCACATAGGTTATCTGCTTCTTTGTATCTGGGTCTGCAGCCTTCAAGGAAAAAATAATAATTTTACAAGGTGATGATAACTGTTTACTCACAATCAACCATACGTAGTAAGGACAAGTGTTTCATGGAATATGTAGTGCAATGGCATCCCAGGACCTCCCTATCTATCTATATATTAATAGGCAAGCATGTTTCTTTAAAACCTTTTTTCTCAGCTCGTGTGCATCGTAGGGAAAATCTACGCATACCGTTGGAAAGCTATTTTCCTGTAGGTGTGCAGAATCCCTTTATAAATTTAAATAGGCTCAAAGATAAGCACAAAAAATGAGTTTAAAAATTTGAAAAAATTAACATGGATCTTATGCGTTGCTATGCTGGTTACGAAATAATAACGAAATATAAACAGAAAATCAAAACAAATGGAGGAAACTCCAATCACATGTTTTATTTACAGTGTGGGGTGAAAATAGATAAGTGAGTACATTACATATTTTTGGTCGAGTTTCGACCACTGGACGACCTCTCGTCTCTATTAATAAGAATATCCTTTTTTTTAAGAACTTATCTTACAGAATAATATGCTGATTGATGTTTAACTTCTTTTGTTTTATTCTAAGCACAATTTATTGAAGTGGAAATTATTTGAAGGATAGTGAAGGATAATACCAAGGATCAAGGTCATATTATTACTAATATAATGGTTTAATTACCTTCAGTCTCCAGTTCAAAGTAAGTCGATTAATGCGACCTAGGTTTCAGCACGACGTTGTGCCATCATCAGGCTTCCAGTTGAAAATGTTCAGTCCATTGGACGTCGTTTAGTAGTGTGTATGAATGTGTATGTGTTTGTGTCTTGTGAACTGTATATAGTTTTACTAAACGACGTCCAATGGACTGAACATTTTCGACTGGAAGCCTGATGATGGCACAATGTCGTGCTGAAACCTAGGTCGCATTAATCGACTTACTTTGAACTGGAGACTGAAGGTAATTAAACCATTATATTAGTTATAAACCAGTTCAGGGGCAATTCCACATCTTATGATGTCAAAACTATCATATTATTACTCTTATCGAACTTGAAAACTGTCGCAGAAGTTTCAAACTATCACTGTGCTTAATGTTGTGTTTAGAGTATTTTCATTTCAGAATATACCTATGAATAAACCTGCATGTAACTCAATACTAACCACAACATGGGTGACCATAAAATTTGGTACATTTTCAGGAACAGAAGCCTCGTAGGAGGTGAGGTGGAATATCGGAGCCTCATCTTCAATATCAGTAACAAAGACGACCACGGTTGCAGTGGCTATCCTAGGTTCTGAGGCTCCATCTTTGGCAGTCACCACAAACCTGTATTCCTGCAATTCAGCAAAATGGTATTTAATCTGTACTTAAATTTTAAAGTAGGAAAAATATTGATTTTAAATAGGTTTATCGAAATAAGAATATACGTTTTTGGTTTTTATCTATTCATACACTGCTCATTAAATATGATTGTAAAGAAACAGCAATTTTTTTGCAACTATAAAGAAGAATTTGTTTTTTTTCTTTGAATTTTGACATTTGCTGTATCTAACAGAAGAGAGTATCTAAAGATCTCTGTTTGTACAGCAACAGCAATAGTTTTATAAGACAGGTTACTCACCCTAGTTGTCTCATAGTCCAGAGCAGCTCTTGTTTTTATCTCCCCGGTTGTTTCATCTATAAGGAAAGGAACGTCGTGAGGTAGAGAGTACGATACTTGTGCGTTGATGCCCTCGTCTGAATCGGTAGCCTTGACTTGCCCTACGGCCGCCCCTGCTATGCCCTCCTGTACTGTAAACTCGTATGGCAACCCGACAAACTCTGGGTTCTTGTCATTGATGTCACTGACAACAATGTTGACCGTCGCTGTGCTCGACAGACCTCCTTCATCCTCGGCTTTGATCAGCTGAAATTACAAACATTTATTAGATCAATGATATTTTTAGTGACTTTTTTATTTCATGACCTGAAGAACAGTAGCATTAGTTCACAACCATTTTCGTCTTTCCCTTTCATACAACAATGTCATATTTTTATCAGATGGATCCAAAAATAATCACAACATACCAGTTCATATCTCGTCAAGTCTTCTCTGTCGAGTCTACGGATCACACTCAGAACTCCCGTTTTGTCATCAATCCCAAACTGTCTCAGATCGTTTCCAGAGATGATAGAGTATGAGACAGGGTCATTTTCTGGGTCGGTTGCCTGAACATTACAGTTTCATATTAATACTAGCACTGTTGATATTATGGGCAAGAAATATTTTGATGTAAAGAGGTTTGGAGTTATAACCCCTTTTTTCAACAGAAATCATAGTAGAACACAATTAATTCACAGTTCCACAGTGATTTGATACATCTCCCTTCGGTACAGCGAGAGCTTGTTGGATATATCTTAAGTACAAACAACCTTAATATTTTAATTTAGAATATCACTAAGGACTTTAGAGGTAAAAACCCCAACTCCAAAAGTATATCAACTTGCTGAATTCTTTTTACAAGATATTGGGGACCAAACTATTCCCATCATAACATTACATCCAACCAAACATTATCCAATCAGCTGTTTACTCACAACTATTGTAGCCACTGTAGAGTTGATGGGCGCTCCCTCACTGACTGTCACTTGATAGACTGACTGCTGGAACACAGGACTGCGAGTGTTGGGTCCTGGGACTACAGTCACCTCTACAATGGTCTGACTGTACTTGCCTCCATGGTCAGTGGCCTACGACGCAAACACAAATAACTATCACTATCTATACGTGTTAGGTAGCACAGTAATAAATTATCTGAACCACAACGATCCTTATGGCAGAAGATTTGAAGTTTTGGTTCAGAGCAGCAATATTTTTCAGTATTAAAAATAAGGTTTATTAAAAATACGAGTAATTAATCCATAAATTTTGCTTTTGTAAAATGAGTACTTAGCTCTAACTTCTGTATAGATTTTATCAAGAAACAGCGAGTAAAAAGGAGGAAATGACAGGGAATATTCACACCCTAAACGGAAAGAGAAAGGTGACTTAAAATAAGGTTCTGGACTGTAACCTTCAGGAACATTGATGGAGAGGAAGACAAAGAAAAAACAGGAGTATTAAAAGAAAATAAATAACAGAAGATGTAGGGAAAAGGTACAAGCAGGGAGGTACGGGCCCTACTGGAAACCAAGTTAGATGAAAGTGGTAAATGCCCTAAGCCTCAACTAGGAGCTACAAGTTATTTAGTAAAGGTAATTCGGTTATTATGTAAGTTATGGAAGCATGGATGAGTTGTTGGGAGATTTTAATCAAGTTCAGAATAAAATATCGATAAGTTTGACTGCATTATTCAAATAGTCATGTCAAAAGGAATCGTTGTGGTATTAATTCACTAAAGTAAAGTAGTAAAGTACAATACTGGGATATCAGACATATAAATATTTAAATCCTCTCAAACGCCCATCTAAATTTTGATTCTAAATTGATTACTTTGATCAAAAAACACTACAGTCCATCATAATGAAGACTATCAAATCCGCTTTTCTCACTACTTTCACCACAGTAAACAACCACAGCTAACCTGTACAGTGATGCTGTATTGCTCTGCAGCATTGAGTTTCCCGATTGCCTCAATAGCACCGGTCTGAGGGTCAATCTTGAACCTATTTCTGCCGTTGTTGGACACATGATAGATGCTGTAGGTTATCTCTGCGTTCTCTCCTAGGTCATTATCAGTTGCTACCACCTTTACGATCTCTCTTCTCCCCTCGCCAGCCTGCACTGTGATTGGGGGAATCATTGGTAATCTCGGGGCGTTATCGTTAACGTCATTCAGAGCCACTGTGATGGTCATTGGAGCACTGGCTGCATTGCCCATCTTCTCTCGTGCTACCACCTAGGAAACAAGAATTGTTTTATCTTACGTAAACAAACACAGGAATGACAGAAGTATGTTAAATTTACACATTTCCTAAATACCATAGATAAGAACACAAAAATATTGTTATCTCGTTCATGTTTACCTGAAAACGAAATTTTCCAGGACTCGGTGGGTCCCTGTCCAAATTTTCTTCTGCAACAGTCAAAGTTCCCTCTTCGTCAATTTGGAAGAAAGTCGTTGTAAGCTCAAATGAATACAAGGGTTTTGGATCTTCAGGTCCCTGAAACATATAAAAAGTATATAATTTTACGAAACAATACAAATATAGATAATGAGTAAAGTAATAATGCTCAAAATGAAAAGATGTTATATTTTATGTGTGGTTGGTAGAGTATGGTTTACAATGTTTAGTATGGGGATACTTTAGTAAAGATACCAGTAAGTTTATTAACCATCACTTAAAGTCCAAGCCAATCTAAAATAAATTTCTTGATTATAGCTATTCAATACATAGAATATTTCTGAATAGTTACATATTCTAAAACCACTATGGTATACATATTGTTATCAGTCTTCTTTCTATAAGAGTCATAAACTAGATAAAATCACTGTGTTTTTTTATGTTTTGTGTATATGTATAACCCCCCCCCCCCACCTTTTATTTCCTCCAGCTAGCTGACTCTGCTACTTTCCAAAAAAATCCTTCATTACATTATTTTACATTTCGAATTTGATTAACTCCTGCTATTTAAACATTACTTTTCACTATAAGCACTTATAATTCTATGACAGCCTTGGGTATAGAAGCAAACTAAGTTTAATTTTGGATATAGGCCTAACAATATACCTATATGAGTTAAAAACTTAAAAATGTTTAGTGTTGACACTTGAGCGGTTTAACATACCAAGTCTGTGTCAGTGACAGTGAGTACTATAGGGTTGCCATCCACATCCAACACTTTGGTCCCGACTGCTGTGTTCTCATCCACAAACCCCTCCACAGCGGAAGCAGATATCCTGGGAGGGCTGCTGTCCACTGGCTTCACTGTGATGAACAACTTGGCTGTGGTGAACCTTCGACTCTCCGACATCTCTTCAGCCTGAACCATTATTAAACGTTAGCACTTACGTTTTGCTTTAGTAAGGCGCCTATGATAACCTTTTACCTAAACATTCTGTGAATGTCTATTGGTCCCAGCTATTGCATATACTAAAAAAATATCTTTCATTGAGTGAGTTAGCTACGGTACCTCCATGCCATAAAGTTGTTGACAAAGGTATTTTTTTATTTAAATTTTTTTTATTAAATGTTAATATAAAATTGTAACGATAGTTTATTAGGTTACCATTCACAATTTCTGGACTCTACGTAATTCCTAAGATAATACTAAAATGAGTGGTCTAAAATAATCTTCTTGACACCTAGTGTGTTTTTTCAGGAACAAAAACAAACTAAACAATTTATTAATTCTTTTACAAACAAGTACCTTACCTTAACAATAATCTCAAACTTTTTGGCTACAGTAGTGTCAACAGGTTTTATCTGCCTCACAGCTCCAGTAGAAGGGTTAATCTCGAAGAACTCCCGGTAAGAGCTAGGAACTCCAGAGAGGAAGCTGTAGGAGATCGGGGAGTTGATGGAGTCCATGTCCACTGCTTGGATCTTCTCAGGAGAGATGCCTAGGATACCAGCCAGCACGCCACTGGATACCTGGTGATTGGATATGAAACATCAGGAACCTTAACATGTCCTCTAGCAGTACAAATGACAGTTTGTATTGAATGAATTGACTAAACAAAAGAATCTTGTCAGTGAAACTTCTATTAGTGCAGGGCCGCGTTAAGAGTCAGTGGCGCCCTGGGCAAACCCAAAAGCAGCGCCCCCTTTATATATATATATTCGCCGAAATTCACAGCAGGTGGGTTGGGGGTTGGGGTGAGTGCAATGAACTTGACAGTAGTCGCCATGCGAATGCCTCTTGGCCTACGCCAGCAGCTTTATTGCACTACGCAGTGATTTGATTACTGTACAGTACAGTGTGCAGTTCATTGCATTACACACACGTATTGAACGAGATTCTACTATGTTTCGAGAGGGAGTTTTCAATTCCGTATCAGTGGAAATACTGGTTAATACATTTAACTTTCTTTAAAACTGCTTCTTGAGTTTGTTTTCTTTGAGCCAACCACTTGCGGCTCTCGGCTCCACTAGGTTTATGCATTTTTCACTGTTTATAGGCCTACTTACTTGTATCAACACTTCTCTATTTATATATTACTGGTTCACTAACTGCAGTGTGAGTGTCAACACTGACTAGTGACTGTCACAGTTTAGGTTGTGTTGTGACTGATTTGACGACTGTGCAGCAGGCACAACACAAACACAACCTACTGACTACTACTGAGGAGTACAGTTCGGCCAAAGTTTCTGTGCGCGCGACCAGATCTGGTTGAGTCTAGGCGATGGGGTTGGCGGGGGTACTTTTGTGAAAACATTTGTGTCTTTCTACTCACTCACCCCTCAGGCCTAGAGAGCACTCCTACCCCCAGCAATGAAAATAGCCGGCACCCGTATGTTTTAGTTCGGCTAGTAGCAACCCGTCCACGGGCACAGAAGTGTACTGGACTGGACTGGCGCAGCGCGGTAGTTGGTAGTTAAGTTGTGACTTGTGGGGATGGGGGTGGGACTGGGAGGGAGAGGAGGTGCAAGTCAACCGTAGGCCCGTAGACTACAACTACAGCTGGCCTACGTGCTATTCCCGTAATTTGCTGATGTCACCCAAATTGCAAACAAAAAATCAGCTGATGTATTGCCATATAAGTATATATTTGTTTTGATTTGATTGTTATTGTTTTTACAATTTTTTAATGGTAAAATGGTGTTTGCAATCTGAGTGACGTCAGCATACGACGGGAATTAGCACACCTATGTATTTTCCTTCCACCATGCAGGCCTCCCAGCCTCTGATAGTATAGTGAGTGCACCCGGTTCACACTGCTGCCTACCTTTCCCTGACTACACGAGGTATAACCTGAAAGTCGAGTATTTTTAATTTTGTTGTATTTATTTACTTTTGCAATAAGGGAAAATCACTTGACTACAAGTTGAAATCACCCATTTTATTTTTGAAATCCCGGCTGATAAAACCCTTTTTTCCCTAGTGCGGGCGGTGGTGCAGGGCGCCCCTCGGGCGCCCCCCAACCACCGGCGCCCCTGGGCATATGCCCAGTCTGCCCGTTTATAAAAGTGGGCCTGTATTAGTGTGGTTATATCCTTGATCAAATACAAATGTTTGCAATGATTAGCACACAAGTTATTGAGCAACATTTTTAAGCCTTCATAACAAAAAAATCTTCAGTAGTTGACTTTTACTTTTCTTGCTAAAATCCATATTTCCTAGCCCCAGAGCTGATCCTACGACTAAATGAATAAATCAATAAATTATCTTAGTCATTCAGCTCCAGTGGCGTAACAGAAGGGCCCGCAGGGCCCGCGATGCGGGGGGGCCCGGGAGCTGAGGGGGCCCGCAAACCGGTGAGCGGGAAACGGCGAGCAGAGAGGCCCGTGAGACGAGTGGGGGCCGAAAAATTGGAGTTCATTCTTATTTAAATGTATTATAAATCATTCAATAATTGTATTGAACAAGTAATAACATTGATGTTATTAATAATTTGTTGTTATCAGTTATCGTTTAATTTCGTTAGGCCTCTTCAGTGATAACGAACTAGGGTAACAAATTTAAAGTGCTTATGGGTTTTTGATTATTATGCAATCTTACTTTCGTCACCGAGAAATATTTTACTTCTCGGTGATTTCGTACACTGCTTAAGTCGTCTGCAAACATTTTGTTACTTTGGAGCCTGTAGTCATGAACGTTGGATGGGGCTTTTAATATTGTATTATTTTACATTTTAGTTTTGTTCTAATATTGATTGTATTTTGTTAAATACAATATACTGGTACTCTGCTGACTGTGTTTGTTAGCCCATATCTTATTTTACCTCACAATTAACCAATACTAAAGACATTTGTTGTAAGATAAACACAACATAATAAGACGCTTGAAATCCATACAAAGATAAAATATAAAATGCAATAGGCTATTTTAGCCTGTGATAAAAGTACGTTAATCTATTAAATTAACCAGCTTTTAGTGTAAAAGATTAAACTAACCTAATAAATTAACACTTTCTCATCCTTCATTCATATTTGGGTTAAAATACGCACATAGTGGCGTCCCCATCTTAAATAATTGATTGATTGCCTTTAATACTTTACTTTGAAATGGTGACCATACCAATGTAGGTATTTTTAAGCCAAGAATTAATGGAGATGAGTGTAGGATGAGTGGCCCAACCTTTTAGTTTTGAAAGGGACTAAGGCCGACATATTCCTTAGACACAGATGTTAATTAATAGCCAATACATCTAAAGGCAACTAAGGGGCCTAAGGGGGTTAATAGGGGAATTCGAACCACATTTTTGCCTTGTAATTAACAAATTGATAACATGTGTGATAAATTAAATGTAAAATTTTTAACCTCCTTGATACAGTATAAACATTCTGATAGACGATGGAAAAAGGGTTTTTAAAATTTGATTTCAAAACTATTTACAATCACTAATATTGATATAATGATGAAGTGATGTAACACTTTCATCAAACCACGACTGAAATACTTAATACTTGTATGGAACATAGCCCATAATTTAATATTAAAATTCGTAATTTAATATTTTTTTTTATTATTTATTTACCACTCTTTTTATGATTAATCTGTTTGCTCATTGTATCGGTGGTCCAAAAATAACTCTGGGGGGAGGGGGAAGGGAGAGAGCGTTTGATTATGTTGTATCGGTGGTCTAAAAATAACTCATGAGAGGGGGGGCCCAAAAAATAAGTTTGCAGGGGGGCCCGTACAAATTTGTTACGCCACTGTTCAGCTCCAAAAATAAAGGTACTTCAATATCTTGTAATTTTATTGATAAAAATGAATACTGTATACCTCCTCTTTTTGACAGAAGCTCGAGTTTAAGGACTAAGGCAAACACGAATAGCAAGGCTAGAGAGAAGGTACTTTTGGGCTGTGTGATGAACTACATTATTTTGTCATAATATAAATTTCACAAATAGATAGTTTTATTTGGTTAAAATTAGTTTGATTGAAAAGTGATTACCAACTGTGGTCATAATTGGTTTATGCAACTGTGCAATATTTTAAGCTAAAGAGTATTTCATGTGTCAATTAAAATTTTTTCTAGACAAAGGAATGTTTGTTTGATGAGAACACCGGAGTTTTGTATTCAGCATATTTTGAGAGGAACTACTAACTTTACTGTAAACTAAACAAAAGTATCAATATATATAACAATTTATTATTTTCTAATAAAACTATGATGCACTTACAGTGGCGTAGTACTCCGGATTGATGCAGGATCCGTCCAGTAGCATGCAGCCTTGATAGATGAATGAAGGATCTTGATCATCGTCATCTCTGACATTGATAGTGAGGGTGGTTGTGGCGGAGAATCTCTCTGACTGATTCCTGGCACGGTCCTGTACAAAGCAACAACTTGTAATATTCGAAATAGAAAATTTAAACTCATCAACTACAGTTTGCTCCGGATAATCCAACATCTACAGGACCAGACGGCTGTTGGATCACTGAAAACATCGGAATACTGGAAAAGACCTGAAATCAACCAATCTGATAAAAAAACTCAACTTACAAAGTCTATGCACTTGACAACTATCAGGGGAAATGAATCAGTTTAAGTTTTATGAATAAAATGTGCTTACAAAACATGAATAAAATCCATGACTATACAGACACCTCCCAATGGTTTATTTTATATAGCATACCATCAAATGTTGGACGGATTATCAAGTGTCCATTGCAGTTTAAATATGTATTAACAATAACATACATTACCGAGGATGGAGGATAGCAAATACGTGCTGAAAGCAGAGCCAAGAAATTCATCTTGTCTTATAGATAAAATCCTAAAAAATGCTTTGTATACATAAGAAAGGATGTATACAAGGACAACAACTGTATACAAAAACCAAGAAAATACACAACTAGAAGCAAGAAAATAGCACACGATAATCACAAAGTGCTAGTTAAGTCCTCTTCACCATTAATAAAAGGCTTAGGCTAATTTAATCCAGAAACCAGAGCATTGTGAATGAAGTGTGAGACAGGTGGGTAGCTTGACAAGGTAGGTGCGGCCGAGACTCTTTATCAATTGAAATGTATTATAAAAAGCTGCACAAAAGATTAATTGGGGCGGTTGCGCAAGCAAGAGTCAAGCAGTCTAGCCAGACACCTGTGGCTAAACGCTGACCTTCAAACCTGCATCTCATCAATGTAATTGTCGGTTCGGTCGGCAGGATTATCCCCAGGCGTTGGGAGATATGCATCTAACTGGCTAAATCCTAAGTGTGAAAAAACTGAGGAACTATTGGCGGTGTTATTAGTCTTTAAATTGATTGTGGTTTGGAATTCTTGTTTTTTGCTGGTCGAGTGTGTAACATTGCGGTTGGGTATGGATTCAAATTTTTTAAGGAGAAAATATAATTTGAAGAATAAATTGTACACTATGTACAACGGAATGTTGACAATTGTTATAAACATGATTGAATTTGTGTTAACCATCACAGATTGGTGCAATTAAGGGGGTTTTTTGGTTACACATCAACACATAAAGTAATCGGATATTGTAATCTCGTCCCTACATTCAAATAACTTTTCTTGTTTTTACCAAAAATGGAGGAAAACCATCAAAACAGAGACAGTTTCTTTGTCTAAGAGATCTAGTTTTTTCCTCTTTTTGAGAACTTACAGCTTATATAGTCTTAATTAAATGTAAATAAATCCAAACCATGGGACTAGACTCCAGGACTCAAGAAAAGAGACTCATAAAATCCAGGATAGTGATTTTGCCTTCAACTTCAGGGCATATCGCGTGTGTGATTTTCCGAGTTAATCCCAAAACTCAAGAACTCCAGAGTAGAGATTTTACCTTCGAGCTTAAGGATGAGAAGCGCTTCAATGACTAAACCAACGTAACTCTGGTAACAGTGTTTCACCCTGCTCCAGATATACTCACAGTAGCCACCACGGTGAGGAGGTATCTCTGGGTCTTCTCATAGTCCAGACTCCTGTTGACAGTGACTTGTCCCTGATGAGGAAGGTTGATGGCGAAGTAGCCGTACCCGTCAGCCACAGTGACTCTGCTCCTGCCCACCCCCTGGTCTGTCCCAACTCCTCGCCCGTCACCGGGGATGATGGAGTACTCCACCAGGCCATTCACTCCAGCATCCAAGTCATTGGCTCTAAGACCTTGGTAGACTGTGGTGCCTACTGGTGTAAGCTGAAAAAAATTTGTTTATTAACAAAGTTAATGTTAACTGTATTATTTGGGATTATAGTTCGATGCAGAACAATACCTGCCAGCTGATTAGTACATTTAGCTATAAAAATTGGGGGGAACCCAGGAAAACGTCCCATTTAACCGACTAAATTTTGTGAACGGTCTATAGGCACTCAAATCCTCTGTCTCAAAAGCCATTCCAGAGCAGTCCCTCTACTCATAAAAAAAATTAGAAAACAGCTAGAGGCTTGATTACTGGTACCTACAAGTTTAATGGTAAAATATAGACTCATAACCATAAACTTTACCTTCTTTGGCCTTCACCCTACAGACCCATTGCTCTTTGAACCAACCACAGTAATAGCTAGAGCGTACGTCCTGCGAAAAACATGATTAAATATTTCCTCACAGAGGTATAAGTGTTGTGATTAGAGATGCAGTTTCGATGTCCGGGCGTGTAAATGTAGAGTGTTCATTAAACTGTGGACACAAACAGGTCTCTCTCTCATGTATTAAAGAGCAGAGTCAACGGCCGTCCTGCCACAGACCACCACTCCATTCCCCATACATGTGGCACAACTGCATCATGCCGAACTGGCTTTGGATCTTGTATGCCGTGTTTTGGCACAATGAGACAATCCACCACTTTCATATTGGCCTCAAAAACTTTGAGTACATGAAACAATCAACCTATACCTATTTATCTATATCTATAAACAAAATTCTTCCAGGTTAGAATCATTTTTGTACTAATAATTAATTGAAAACGAAGCAGTCCTCCAACTTTCCTTTGATACCACAAACACTCCAAGAGAAGCACCACAATCATCCAAAGTAAATTTTTCCTAATCCTAAGAACAACCTCCACAATGACCAAATAACCTCTGTGATAGAAGACTTTGACAAAAATTGCAATCGAAACTTTATAAGGGAACCTTTTCAGTTATTTTATCGATGTTGGGGGAAATGTCACATATTAACTTGAAAATGGATTTTGCATCGTTCAAAAGCTATGTTTCCTTACCATCAATGTTAACAAAACAAGTACGAAAATAAAGAAGAAAACGAGTGCTATTAGTACTAGGCAATGATTTCAATACATTGTCTTAAGTTGTGATAAAATCAAATCCAACACTGAAGAAAACTTCATGTGGCTTCTGGGACATTTCCACAAAGAACTCTGTTCCTACAGTGGCAGAGATGATGTCGTTTGGCGCCCAAATTATGAGTTGCGGTCGGCTGCTGGGGCCGTACTGGGAGGGATGAGATTCCATTGGCACTGAGTCGGAAGACGGTGAATCATTAAAGGTGAGATGGGGCCATTAGATTTGGCTGCTGAGCTTTACACTCGCATGCTTGCGCGGGAACTCGCACACTCACACCGGGGCACATATTGGCTTCTGGCTCCTTGGTGATGAAAGATAAACTAAAACAATTTTTATGCAATAACTACGAAGAAGAATTTTTTGTATTGTGTTAGTAGGCCAATTTATGAAGTTTCTTTGGAAGTTTTTGTCTCATCAATGTCGATAATCCATTTTATATCGTTCTATGACATGACATAAAATGTATTATTGACGTCATCACTAAAATTAAGTCACTTTTACCAATCTGACGATAGGCGTAAAACGATTGTTCACGTACTCCAAAAATAATGTATGGCTTTGTTTAACTGTAGTCTGTAAAAGATAAGAGTTATTATCTGTGAGGGTTCGAATTTGCTGGGGAAAAAACGTAGTTCTAGAATATAATCAACGGCTTAGTACTACTGTATTAATATGAATCAGTCATCTCTATCTGCATTCTGGATATAAAGGATTATACGTTCCAAGACTAAGTAAACTCTAATCCGTGAGGCCAAGAATACCAATCGCGATTACGATCTGCTAAGAGTGATTCTGTGATTACCGTGGTGTTTATCTAGTGGCTGAGTTTGCATACAGTATCGACACTAGATGGCGTTACATGGACAGGAGAATGGCGACGGTTGGTAGTCCTGGCACTGACAGGTGGTGAGGTTAGTTTGGTACCACTGCTTGCATTAGGCAGGCGCGGTGACGCATGCGCATTGCTCTAATATCCTTCTCGAGGTTCATCGTCTACTAATGATTACATATCCATAGAGTAAGTACCTAAACGTTGACACAAAAATTACTTCTCGAATCCTGCAGCTAGATGATACTTTCACCGCAGATTCTCATACAATCCTCAACCCGTACCCACGTAGCCGTCAAGTCAATTTACAGGATTCCTGATAATATGAAGTATTTGAATCATGCAGAATCTTCCTCGTGCTGGGAATTGGCATTTTGTGCTAACGATTATAGTGGCGCTAGTTATGGGGTAACAATCATGTGAAAGGTGAGGAAAGCTGGAGCAATTATCTACGTTTATATGGTGGAATGCTGATGACTTCGCTACAAATCGGCCGTCGCGCAAAGACTTTAAAGAACGGTGATGACTCTGATATCATCACTCTCACAGATTGAAAACCCCCACTATGGTGAACTATTCAATCAATTATTCTATTGAAATATGTAGTATTTTTTCATTGTAAATACTCATTGACATTAACCTAAAAAGGTCTAAGAAGTACTTTCCGAATCGACAACGAATTAATTTCGTTTGGACAAATAAATAATAAATAAACACCGCACCATTACGCAAATATTCTGCAATGCCTTGTTCCAACGGAAATATATAATCCGTACACTCTTTAATTGAGATAGTTTATAAAACCTTCCTCGTTTCTTGTAGTCTACGCTTTAGGCAGGATGTCTTGTAGAGTGTACACATAACGCTGTTAGTTAGAAGAAAGCGGTCCAAAACACACATATTATGTTTTTTTTTTATGTTAGGTTAGGTTAGGTTTAGTACAACAAATACAACCAAAATCACTCAAATCTGGTTTTCTTTATTTCTTGGCAATGAAACGACTGTCAAAACAAATTATCTCATTACTAGATGATTTTAATCAGCCATTAGTGCAGCTCAGTTGTCAAGAAGCTTTCCAGTTGACAGACAGGTATTGGAAGCGTACTAATATAATTAGAGGGCGTGCCTCGCCGGTCCTACTTTACACGGTGTTCGCACGCGTTTTATGATAGGCTGATTGCTATTGGCTACTCGGCAGTACGCCATTAGTGACTTGACTACGCAGACGCACTCGGCTAGCCTTGGAGTCCAAAGCCACCTAGTGGACATTAGTTTTTGTTACTGCCCGTCGTGCTGCTTCCATTTCTTTTTTGACCGCTGTTAAACAACCTATAATCAATGTTAATACCAGCGGAGGATATTATTTCGGAATTACTACCGCACACGTTGCATTCTGATTTTGATTAATTGGTTGCACGAGCATGTTCTAAAGCCGAATTTAAATAAGTGCTAGTGGTGTAAACACTAGGGAGTGAGTTTATCTGTGGTAGATCACGGGTCTTCAAACCCCGAGGTCCCGGGATCAAATTTCACAAATCACCAAAGACTAAAGGCAAGCTATGTGATGCTATCACGTTCTTCTAGTTCTAGCCCGAAGTAATGTGTACAAAGGTTCCAAACTGAAGAGTCCTATAAAGTGTTGAGAGGTTACAAAAGATGCGTAAACATTCTCTCGCTTTCAGTTCTTCAGGATTTTAATTATTGGTCATCCTCATCTATGCATGCTGTAGCACTTCATCAATATTTAGAATATGTTTTAAGTACTGAATTATCTAAAACTTGCTTCAAGCTAACCTCGAGAAATATATTACATCAGCATTAAGTTATAAACCACCGTATTTTACAAGAACGATAAAAGTCACAGCACCTCCTAAAGAAGGAGGATTACCAATTTGTCACGAGCAGTAAATAACGCTTTGCCGCAGAAGACTGCATCAACCTGCCGCGTAACCTTTAGAGATATCCTCTTTGGGTAATGTATAGTGTTTTAATGTTAATGGTATGATTAATTTTAGATGACCAAGCTTTAATAGTGTTTGAATAAATAAAACACAAGGGTGCTTCAATGCAATGTGATATTGTTTATGATGAAATTGAATTTGTTTTCATTTATTGCCTTTTGGGCGTCTGGTAATTTGGTCTAGTAGTCTTGGTATGCAGAAAGAAAGAAGTAAAGGTAAAGGCTCCACCAAACATGGTGTCAGAGAGCTAGAAAAACTCTTTGTAAAATATTAAGGGAAATCAGTAAGCAACAATGTATTGCCTCTGAAAATTTCATTTGTAACCAAATATTCTGACACTAGAGCACGAGTTGTATGGTTGTAGGCACCAGAGCCTGTGAACAACAACACATTCTAGAGGTTTGCTAAGCTTCAGTGATCATATGTTGCAGGGTTGTTTCAAGAAAAAATGGTCATTTATAGACATATTCCAATGAAGTAATGGCACTCACCAGTCACCACTTACACAACCGCGGCAACTGCAACGACGGACGCTAGAGGCGAGTGACATAAGACATAAACAAGGAGTATCTCAGTCTGCGATCTACCACAACCAGAACCAGAACCAGAGCAGAGACCAGAGAGCGGCTGGAGGCTAGAAGAGCCAAGACAAATGGCAAGCTAGCCTCGCCCATCGTCATGACGCTAGCCTCGCAGCAGTGTCGACAGCCGATGCTATCAGGGGATGATATTGTTGCTATCCAGCTCTAGATCCACCCTGACAACAGTTCCTTTATAAATTGCGCCGCGATATCGCCGCATCTGAAGGGACTATATCGCCGCCGATCAGCTGATATGTGCCGGTCACTAGATCCTTGCAATTAAAGGCCATAAATTCTCTTGGTCCTCCGTTTGTCCTCGGTTGCCTGGGGACAGTGTCAGGTGCAGCTGAGAATGCTGATAATGGAATCGCCACTGCTACTGAGCTTGAGATATTTGGTTGTGTGTCTCAAACTTTATTTACTGGGTTTCTGTTAGAGTTTAAATTTGTGCTGAAGAAGAATCGAGACTTTTCTTCGCCAAACTATCTCTGTCCGCGATGGTTTGAACGAGTAGAAGCAACGCGTACACACAATAATAACGAATGTTCGTTATATCTCGTGCAATAAAAACTTCATCATACAGTATTTCAAACCAGAAACTAAATAATCCAAATTGTTATACTAGTTTATTATAGTATCCTGCCTTTCACGAGTTGGCAATACAGTAGTCGTGTCAAAATTTGGAGTTTTTTTTTAGATAAACGGATAGAGTAAAGGATATGTGGATATGGATGACACATTAGATATGACTCGTGCGAGATTTACAGCAGATCCTCACCTCTGAGACGGTGGTCTCGTACGGTTCGTGCAGGAACATAGGAGGATTGTCGTTGACATCGGACACTCTCACGATGACGGGGATGGTCCTCTTCTTGTTGGACGACTTGACAGTGCAGGTCAGCTGCAACAGGGGGAGTATACCGTAAACTTAACTGTATGAGTGTTTCACCATTATCATAATTACATTGAGTAACTAACTCAACGATGAGCAAATCTGTGAAGAATTAGTTTACAGAATGGGGTGATATGTAAATTGTGAAGTTTTTTCAACCTGCTATCTGCTAAAAAGGTGTTTCGCTGGAGCCAGTCAATAAAAGATCAATTTTAAAAAACAATAGGGACCATTTTAAAACAAACAAAAAGCTTAAACAATATTTGTCTTTTGAAACCAAAACTTACAGTTAACCCAGAAAACACATTTTCAGTTCGTAAGCATATCACATGCATTGCTTGAAGGATTTCGGAGCTCAAAACGATAATAAACTAAAAAGTATCCAACACTCAACGGTAAAAATAAATAATCTCTACAAACACTATTTTAAAATTTACCACCTTTGTTTACAATGCTTAAAACCTGACTAATAAGATAAATTAGCTAGATTTAGTACCAAATGAAGTGAAACTTTAAGTAGAAGCATCAAATGTGAAATGTCATCACCACTCTCAAGTTTCAGGATTTTAATGCTTTCGCAAAAAGTGCTTTTATCACTTTTTTATTGCTTAATTTTAAAAGCGGTCTGGATTCGGGTGTTATAAACAACTGTGGATGGCCTGAAGTATCTTTATAGCCAATAACATTCCATGGTAAACCTTACTTCGTCTTTTATTGCCATCTGCCATCAACGCTTTCTCGTAATATTTTAGCTCCAAAGTACATTAAAGTAACTATTTTAACGAAGATGGTTGGAAATATGCCGTAGGTTCTGTAGTGCTAAACAAATTCTTTAAATTTGTAAACTCTTATTACTGAAATACGTACTTGTATATTTAGTGATTTTAATAGTTATAGAAAAAAAAAAACTCAAATAGGCCAAACAACTAAGTGGATACTATGGAAATGCCGAAGACATCGATTGAGTAAAAAATAAATGTAGAGATACGTTAAAAAACCAAAAATCCTATAAACATCCACAAGTTTTTATAGATGTTGACCAAATATATTTAGTCATTTAGTTGAAATTGAATTGCGGTGTCTCTGAAAAATTTACTTATTGGCTTGTATATGATCTCGTCAATGTTCTTGAAGCCATATCGCTGCTTTAAAACAACGTCTAATGAAATAAAAAAATCCTAAATACTGAACTGTTTTCTCAGTATTAGTTTCACATGTAAATTATGACGATGTGATATACTATGTATATACTAGGGTACATTGAAATCCAAATGTTTCATACATCTTTTTTTGTGGCAACTAATAAATTTTTCTAAAAGAAAACAGTTCCTATGTTATTAAATTATGTACACTTTATTGTTAAGTATTAAAATTGAATATTCAATGCCGTACAGCCTAGTACTAACATCCTATTTCTATTAAATACTTTAAGGCATAAAATATACTCCTAAATCTATTGACAATAATGTCATTTCCAAACCCACTTGATTACACCTAAATTACTCACGAGACCAATGAGGGTTTATTGATCCCTGTTGATTTTAAATAGAAATAACCACATGTAGGCAGTTTAATAATAAAGTAATTAGTACGATCTAATTAAACAAGACAGTAATTAATATTGCTAATCAAGTAGGCCCACGGTGTCGCAGATACGAGCGAGATACGACCGTGGGAGTCGCATGTTATTAGGTTGTTGAATGTATGAAAGATCACTTGATGATATCACGCTCTTTTAACTGCTTCCGCCTGCAACTTGTTTATTATTAAGAATTATCGTGGGATAAGAATATGAGTTGACATTCGTGCCTTGGAGTGGAACATTTAAACTCTCTCTATCTTTCTCTTCAATTGCGAAATAAATTTATTGACTTTGTTCGCTTTCTAATAATAACTTTATAATCCCTTAAGTTAATAGTTAATGTAGTCTACAACAATTCACTTAATTGACTTCATCCCATGTTACTGTCTGAGAGTTTAGGCAAACCTATCAATAGAGTTCTGGTAAATGTTAGTTAAGAATTAACTTAAATGTGAGATCAGAAATCAACCAGTAATCATGAAACAAAGGTTACGCTTCTTAAATTTTTCACACACGAGTTTAATATTTTACCACAATGATTCCACATCGAGCATAAATATATACAATTATTGGTTCCCGGTATATCCAAATCACACGTTTCGGAATAAAATATCCTACATTTAATATACATGCAATTTTATATACAAGCAACCTTTTAAAAAAAATTCTATCTCATTAAATTAACTCTTTGATCAAAGCAAATTAGTCAACAATATTCTGTTTACTTGAAAAAAACTAAAAGATATACGTTCGCCTATTGGTTCTGATGATGATTGGAGTGTCCAATGGAAATCGATCACCACTTACCCACCTTCAGTATTTTACTGTCTTGTGTGTCAACAGTATAAGTGTAAATATATTATTACGAGTGTTATTAGACGTTTTTTTTAATGTAATTTAATAACACGTACGTTGCTGGCCAAGAAGGTATTCTTTTTATATTAACATAGTGGACACACGAGTAATTCCAGCATAATCTGCTGGTTCCTTCTATGAAGTATTACAGAATTTAATAGGAACAGATACAATCGTTTTAGGATCTTACATCATTTTGCATTCTATTAAACATGTTTTATCTCTGTATCTTTGAACGTATACACACGAGATGTACAGTATGTACTGTTCCCTATGATCAAGTTTTTATTTATTTATTTAATGAATCTATTATTAAAGTATCCTAATTAATTGTTTACACAAACATAGTATTTATATTCTACGAGGCCTACAGGATGATTTGTGCTCTAAACACACCAGCGTTACGTAAACTGTTGGGAACTGGTTTTGAGTAATTCCTGTGTATGTCAGAGTTATGTAAACCTCACATACAACTAATGGCAACGGCAGTACATCTCCCGCGGTGGGTGATTGTAATTACAAACCTACACAACTGGAAATACTTCCACATAAATGGCAAACTGTGTTAATTGAAATTTCTAATTTACTTATGTGGTTGATGGTTAATTCAATTGATTTGATTTCATAAAATGAAATAACTAATTAATCAATCTGATCGGAGTTTATTATGAAGAATCCAACCAACGTGTGGAAAATGTATATTTTCTACAGTCGCCCGACAAAGTGGGCTTCCATCTCACAGATATAAATATTTAAATCTGTGTTAGATAAAATGTCAACAACGGACTTCGGGGTTCTACTTTCAAAAAGCTACGAATAGTCCCGGTAACATCCAGCCTTAAATATAACCGGAGCTGAACTTTTCGCCAAGTAGTTCGACCTTTCCTTATTTACAAGCAGAACCAACCGCAAGTTACGAAAGTTGAAATAACGTCGACCTGATGGAGTCCTTAGTAATTATCGAATTACCCGCGTTGCGAGCCTTTACACGCTTCATTTGATGTAATTGCTTGTGCCGAGCCTCAGCTGGAGATATCCGAATAAATTACACGCTTTCAGCACCGAATAAGCGTTAAACGAAGGATGTTTGGAAATAAAACTAATTTTCCTTACAATAGGGTGTCATTAGTTGACTGGACATATTGACTAAACAAGTTTCTGCTTTGACGAGGGTGAAATCTTATTACAAGTTATTGCAAAATTTTGTTTCACACATTGTAAGAATGCGCTTTCTCTAATAATGATCCTAATAAATTTAGCATGGAGCGCATATAAATAATCTATTTTGTATGGTTGTCTACTTTCGTTGAAAAAGTGTTGATTTATACACAATTATTTTAAATTAATTCAGAACACATGTTAGTTTATTGTGGTAGCAATAGCTTGGATAATATTTAAATATTTATACTCTATTGGAACAATGTAATAACACTTTTTGCAGCTCAAATATGTCTTATGAAATTAATATAAACACTGTATATGTTAGAATATTTTCGTGTCCCCCTTACGTCGAGCGACATTAGACCATTTCTCCTAAATACTTTTTTTTACTTTACTTTACTTCAAAAACTTTATTCTGAAATTGCTACCATACAAGTGTAGGTATTTTAAGCCAAGTATGAAATGGAGATGAGTGAAGGATGAGTGGCGCGAGAGAGTTGGCGCCAAAGATTTTAACAGTTAAATATGTTCTTCGTTGTTTCAGATAAATGATTATCAATGTAATATCCTCACTTAGTAACTTGAACAAAGTAAAGATAATTTGCTATCCCTTGAGTTAACAATCTTCCCCGTCAACTAAACTATAACAACATAAACACTTGCTGATTGAATTTTGATTAATAATACAGACTTTGATCGATTTGTTTGTGATTTAAAACTTTAATATGCACCACCTCACAGCGAGATTATTATTTTTGAATGTGTGCTGAATTTAAATAGTCAAATTAGAGAAGCCATTGGTTATCAGCGTCACGTATCTACTTGTAATAATCCAACTTGCGACTTTCTCCATTCAAGGCGCGGCCTGTGTTTATCCATGCAGCTATAAATTGCTAGATGACAGTTGAGTAATACTAATAAGCAATGAATACATGGTTCTTTTACATGGAGTTTTTGTGTATGAGATTTAGATAGATTGAAAATGAAAATTTGACATTTGAATATTTAAGTTTTCAAAAGTTTAAAGGGATAAGTAATTCGAGTCAAAACCTTATAAATGACCCAACATCAACTAACATGTAAAGTTTAAACAATATTTGAGAGTCTAGTATATCGGAGGTTACAATATCTTATTTTTTTCGAAATAAAAAATAAACTCTGTCAATTATTTTAATTATATGATTTTGTAATTTATCTCTATGTTTCTTTAGGACTCTCTTCGTATTTCATAGCTCTCATCCAAAATATTCGTAGTCTCATGCGTTGTCAGATAAATCTAGGATGGATTTCTGATAAATGCTACTACGTTTATCCAACTTATATATAACAAGTAAAAATATTTGAGACGAATTACTGTTATATTGTAACTATAAAATAGCTACTCCCTATAGGGAAATTCGTTAATAGTTCTAAGGTTAGTAATCTTGTATTAACTTTTTGAAAGTGAATCTCAACATTAGAAAATGTTACACTCAACGATGTAAAGAACTACGTTACACTTTGTGATATAAACATTTAGTTTTCCCTCTTTCTTAGCACACAAAAAAAATAATTTTATTCCGTTGATAAAAGTATACTATTGTGTTGTGTTGAAGAGAATATTAGCGGAAATATAAAATAAATAGTATATAATTGAAATATTACCTCGTTTGGCACACATTTTTTCAAGTTAATTAAACAAACTGGCAAAATTATATTAATCAAACACTATGTTACGTTTAATTACCTACAATAAAAACGGTAAATGTATAGATAAAGGTACACAGTGGAGTATGGTAATTTAGATTTTTTTAGTATTGGTGGCGCTGTTAGTTGAAGCAAAAATTAAAGAAAGTAGACTTAGACATTAGAATGGTATGTAATTTCTTTAATCTGTACGTTGAAGAGAAGGAACGTGTAGGGTGTATAGGCACCTGCGGGAGGTTTGTATAAATCTTATGTTCCGTTGCCAATATAGAGTAAATGATCGAACAAAATGTACGTCGGCACAAAATGAGCACTCGTGTCCAGTGTATTAGCCAACCAAAAATCGGTTGCATAAACTTCCTGATGTTAACTGTAAACTACGGCCACTATTTTTTCACTTCAACCGGCAGCAACACTTCAGCGTTTATTCAAAAATATTATTCGTCCCGCTAAGCCTGTAGAGTGTGGAGCAATACAGCAATATTTCAACAATCTGCAGACTAAAAGTAAAGTGCAAAAGTTAAAAGAGTTGGTGAACTCACCTGAAATACAATGTGTGAGAGATTATCCCTGTCCCTGTCTAGAGGCATGAGCAGTTGGAGCTTCTTGCCATTCAGGATGAACACAGCCTTCCCCTTGGGGAACACCAGGTCCAGGGCGATGTCAGAGAAGGGGTCTCCTACCACAGGGAGGTCCCGGGGCATCGTCTCTTGGCTGATCTCTGCAAAACACCATACATCTTTTGATATCGACTGCAAATATGATATTATAAAGTGTTATTTATAATGTGTATAGTATGATTCCCTGCATAAAGTAATCTAAGGTTAATTTGTTTGCAATTAGTTGCAGTTAGATTATACCCTCGTAGGCCCTAAGGTGGTTCAAAGAAGGTACTGAAACTAGTTGGCACCTCAGTAACCAAGAATTACTTGTTTTAAGCCATTTACGTACAAAAAAAAGGTATTTGGGGAACCCTAATACTGTAATGGTAAATAACAACTAGAATTTGATATCGTTTGTTTATCACACAAAAATAATTTAGTTTTCTGTCATTAGTCAATGTTGTTAGTAAAAGTATTTTAAAACATAGGTATACAATCAAGAAGCAGGTTCATAAATCTGTCATAAGAATTATGAAAATGTTGGTCGACGAAACAATATTAGAGAGACTTTCCGAAGAAACATTACCATTACACGTAATTTTTGTGAAAATGGAACACTATTTTTACATGATTACAACATTTTACTACAAGACATATAGGATTTAGTACATATGATAAAGGTTGAAGGCCAATTATGAAATTTATCAACAAGCCAGGGACAAAGATATTTTGATAAATTAAAAGAATTTCAGAAGCTCTTATTTGAATTCTCAAATTTTAACGCGATTATAAAAAATATACATATAAATTTGATTGCTGATTAAGATTTTGCTGAGAAAATATAACACACAGTGAATAACACACAGTTAAACCAAAATAATACATAAAGTAATTGATCGTAAAACAAACCAATACAGCTACGGGGCAATCACAAGCATTAGTCTATCAGGAATTATTCATAGATAGATGCAAACACAGCAGGGGAATGTTGTGGGCTGCATTATCCATCCCGGTCAGGGAGTTCAGTCTGAACAAATTGAAATAATTGGTGGAAACATAGTGGGGCATTTGTCAGACCTGTCAATTTGCGGTGGTTTGAAGAGCAGCAGAAATGATACGGGCAACTCCCACGTATATAAAGTGAGTTGGCACGTGCGTGTGTGTGTGTCTGTGTGCGTATGTATGCAGACATAAGTAGGCCGTGACCCCTCAACAATTGACAATCAATCCAACACCGTTAGCTCACACTGCCGTGCTTGTATTTTGTATTGTTGTTGGCACCGACATATCACATTTACATGGGGCTGTGTGCCTTTTTAGGCGCGTACAAGTACTGTAGTACCATTGACACTACAGATTGTTCTGTGTTAACTGTGCTGCCGAGATCTACTTTACGTTCTGTTCCATTAGAGACGGTGTTGTCTTGGCTGTTTAGATGATCATTTAGATACATGTATCTGGCGCTAAGCACGTGATTGTAAACATCGTTTAAGCTTAGATTGAGAAATTAGCTTTAAATTGGAGTGTGGAAATGGTATATTCGATAAGTTGGTACTATTAAGTGTTTCTAATCAATCCAGGAGATTAGCCAAGGAAACCCTCTTCATCTAAAAGGCTTGTGGCTGCAAAAATTTTTTATTTAGTTTGTTTTTACGTTGTACACAAGTTAACAGAAAATATTGATAAACACTTACAATACTAAATCTTTGTATCCATTGCACTTAAAAGTAATCGTACTTTTGTTGGCTGGAAAACAAATTTGGCGAAAAAATAAAATTGATGTAACTATAAATAAGTTATTTTACAGTACCGTCAACTTGTGAACGGAATGTCTACTTCGCAAAAGAGTAGCTATAATTATTAAATTACATCAACAACTGCCAAATATTCATTACTCAAAAATGTAATCACTAGTTAATCACCTGCCACTTTTTGCCAAAAATAAAAGTAAAGGAGTAATTAGCCCGTAGTGGGAGGAGCAACAGCCACAACTCGTTTAATCCAATTCACACTTTTAGATTACAAAATTCGCTCGGAATTAACGTCTTAATGATCGAGTTCTATCAGCGGAATAAGGGTGTCTCATTAAATTTTAGAACAAGTCGATTCCGATTCGAAATTAAAGCGATAAAATCCCTGGTCTCTTTTAATAACCCTTGAAGCGTAAGGAACGATAGTGATCTAAATCTGGAGCTGATTAATGTATGCAGAACACGCCACTGTAATAACAGCTTCGGTGGCCCTAAACTTTATCGAATTAATATTGGACAGTCCAACGTCAAGGATAAGTTCAGGGTTGGCAATCCATTGTTAGAAGTAAACTATGCAGATAAGATCTGCGGCAAGTGGCACTTGTAGCTGTGATGTATCTGCAATCATTTGATTCTTTCGATTGTTTATATCCTTGCTGAGGTTTACTAGAAACAACAGAGCTTAGTTTAAAAAACTAGTTTACTATGGCACAATGCCATCATTAATAGTTTTTGATACTATTTTATTATGATAGAGGCGTTCTATTAGTTAAAAAAATTACATGTGCCACGATAAATCAACTTTTTACTTTCCCTGTTTGTTACGAGTTTAAAGTAAGACAAGGTTTTGTTCAGGGAAAAATATCTTCTCTGTCTTCCTTTTGATCTGTTGTACAAGAGAAAATGTAATTGTTATGATTTTGAGAGTATACAAAGTTATGATTATTATGTCCTCATGAGTTACTTGAAGACAACTTGATACTATTTGAAGAGGTGGTGTCTTGGTGGACATCAAAGTGAGTCAAATTTATATACTTAGGCTCTTCCCAACTAAATTATCATCACAAAGGTAAATTTTCGGCAGTAAAAATATATATTTTTATGTTGGGTTTTTCAAGGCATGCATCAAATAGTTTCAACCCAGCAGTTCACGCATCGACTCCATCGCCGCCGCTGATCAGACCACACGCATTCCCAGGTCCAGATAGACGCTGTTGGGGGAGTGACCACCAAATCTCGGCCCAGCCCCCGGCTCGCGGGCCGCAATTAATTGTTTCCAGAAACCGGAGAGTTGCAATTATCATCTCCACCCACGACGCCTAAAGCCTCTCTCTCCGTGATTGTGGCCGAATTTACCAAGATTACCTTTTCTGGTCAGGTCCTTGATCGTAAGGTTTGATTCTGTTCCTGGTTTTCAAGTTCAGGAGGGCGTGTTTGCATTCGATTTTATTGCAGAAGATAGAATGTTTGAACAACTGTTCACAATGTTAGGCAATCGATTTCAGCAGGGTTGGGTAACCTGTTCAAGATACGCTGATTTAAGGAACTGTAATTAGTAAAAATTGTGTTTTTGGTCTAAAACAAGCCAAGATTTAGACAAGCATACGAGATTTTATGTACTCCTACTTGTAGTACTAAAATCGTGTCCAATTACTACTACTTAACGTTTAAAATCGGTTCCCAGCTGAACTATTTGATAAAGTTCATACTACACCAACACACAAGGAGAAGGTGAGTGAAGGATGAGATTTAAATGGATGACATGACAACTTTGTTACCGAGTAAGATCATGAAGTCTTTAAGCCATTGGAATACCCCCATGACCAAGGACAGTTTGGTCCAGTTCTCAAACATAAAATGCTACAGACTTTTCTCATGATATAGATGAGCACTATATACACGCAGCTACCTATCTAATGTCGTATAAAGAAGCGAGAGATTACATCTATCAATGTACACGTTCTCGTATGATCGCAGTGTCTGTAGTATAGCGGCAGCGTATTGAGGGTGACTGGAGGAGTGTATCAGGTCCGAGATGTTTGTAGAACTCCGCAGCTTCATTACACAGGACCGGTCCAGAGTGAGCGAGTGAACGAGTAATTGGCGATATTGTTCAGACTCCGTGAGAACAGACAGTGTAAATAATCTACCGTTAATACAACAGGACACCGACACCGCGCCTCGGACTGTTCAAGTAGTCCAGAGCAGCTTGAACTTGCGGATATGGAGATGTGAGATGAACTTGAACATGGGGATCAGGATATGTAGATGTGAGATTAGCTTGAACATGGGAATCAGGATATGAAGGTGTAAGATGAACTTGAGCATTGGCATAGCGAGTTATGAGCTGTACTGAGCTAGACATTATCAACTAGTTTGATTTGCTTCCAAGGTTAGAATGAACTGTCAATGTTGGTCTTAGGGACATAAACCGCGTCGTTAATTAGCGAAGCTAGTTGTTGACGTTTCGGATACGTTGCAGCAATCTATCTTTGGGCAAACTACAACCTTTGTCTATTGATAGAACTATTCTTCAGTATCCAAAAGTGAATGCTACAATCATTGGTCACTATCTTCACCAGTTCAGAGACGTAGTCATCTGCCAAAGACCATGATTCGACGTTCCCAACCAAACGTATTCATTTATTGGTTTTTTTTTATTTTCAATGCCAGAAGTATATAGAAGTTAAAAAAAATTAAATCCCTTTGGAAAGTGGTCCAACCCCCTTGACGTTTTGTGAATATACTGGAATCGAACTCGCAATAAGACTAAGCTAGGAACAGACCGACATTTTGTTGTCTGGTGTGCAATTCTAGCCTAGAAAATAGAACGAGTTTGACAAAACTATGATGAAGGTGTGTGACTATTACCAAACATTACTTGCTTATTTGAAGAAATATGATTTTTTAACTTCGAATCACCAATGACAATAAAGTAATATTTAATACCTAATCCTCTAGGCCATATGGGTGCTTAGATTGAGTAAATATCAGTAAACGGAATTGGTCACTGTCAAACTACATTTTTTTTAATACAGTTTGTTGTTATGAACAGTTTGTTCATAAAGGAAAATACTTATATGCTATCGAAACTATTTGTAGTCTATGTAGCTGACCACAAAACAACTTACTTTGTATTTAAACACAAAAGAACCAATTTGAAATTATTATAATTTATACAGTATGTGCAACTATGATGTATACAATAGTCAAACCTTCAGTAATCAGGTAAGCGTTTTGCGCGAGTCTCAGAACATTTAAGTCACCGGAGACTTCAACGGTCGGTATGACTGGAGGCGTGAACTCAACGAAGAGCAAATTAATAACTAAAAGATGTAGTTTTAAATAATAAACTCACGTGTTCCTCTGCTCTCTTCGATGTCCAGGATGATATTTGAGTGGCCACCCTCCACTTCGCAAAGTCCTGCAACAGAAGAGAAACCAATATATTAGTTGATAAATATATTTTTACACCCAGAAAATGAAAAATTATAAGGTGCTAGCCAAAAAGGCTCATCGTACAAAAACATAGCCAACATACCATTCTTTCTTTGCGTACATATTTTTTTTTTATTTGGCTATCAAATAACTATACAAAAATGATTTTAATACAATAATCAATTAAATTCTCTCGATTATCACAGGTGACATTATTAGCAAGTATAGATATGAATCCATCCATCAAACAATGAGGTAAATTATTATGCATGAACTTTTATTATATCAATTGTAAACTACAATTGTAAAAGTTATATACTTCTGACATTGTGTTTGTTAGTCTTTTTTATCGCTTCGTGTAGTTTGTTTGATTGTTACTCCTAATCTCATTTATAGGCCGACTCGTAACGACTGCACCAGGGCGAGCGCTCATAAGATCCAATGGTTCACTGTTGGAATGTTGTCGTTCCGTCACAGTGTCGTACGACCGAAATCGTATAGTGGGCGAGGGACCTAATTGTTTCATAGATTCATCGATCCTATTTTTATTCTTATCACTTAGTTATTATTTTTACATCTGGTCGAAATAGTTTATCTTGTTGTTGCGTTCAAAGTATTTATCTCGCACTTTTTCTAGACCCCTTAATAATATTAAATATTTTGTTGTTAGGAATTCAATACTTTTTTCTTGCTATTTTCTGTATTTGATTACGTTGATGTTTTGTTGTTGTTAGTTTTCATGCAATGCTGTTTTATCAATGCTTATTGATATTGTTATTTGTAATGCTATTAACATTGCTTGGCTCTTGTGTCCTTGAACATGTAATAGTTGTAATTGGTGTATCAGTTGATATGAATAGATTAATACATAAGTATATAAGCTTCACAGTCGCACTCTTGGATGGAAACATAACGGATTACATAGTCTGTATGGGCCCGCAGCGCCGAGTGGAGCCAGAACTGTGGTCGTGCTTTGTTTATAGATGCGCCGACCACTCGAATGTTGACCAAGTACAAACAACCTGGTCTCACCAGTGCTATTCTTTCACTGGCCTCGACAAACGAGTGATAATAAGTTGTGTTTGTGCAAGCATAAGCCTCGTCTTGTCCGGTCAATGTGTGTGGCCGTTGGATTTTGATATATGAAAACCACTAGAGCCTTAAAATTTACAGTTCTGTTTGTTGTGTGACCGTTTGGTTTGGATATAGAAAAATCTAAGAGGTGAATTCGTATCCAATTATCTTAGTATTGTGTGGCTGTTAAATTGTGGTTTAAAAGATGAGCACAGTAGTAAATTCAAACTTGCAGGTCTGTTTGTGATCTGGTTGAAGTTCACGGAGACCACGAGTGAGGAATTATGGACCAAATGGTTAAATGAGTCATTTTGTTAAAAGTTGTATTGGTGAGTCGTAGTATGGATAAAATATTTTAAAATTTTATAAACTAATCATGGTCAGGTTTTAAATAGTAATCTGCCAAAAAGCAACAGCTATGACCAGTATAGTATTGTCCTGGATGTTCACATGCGAAGCTGTGAGAGCTAGGTGTCTAATACATATATTCAATGCTAATACGTTTAGTTACAGACGCAAAACATAGAAAATTATATTTAGACCTATCTCATAGCAGAAATAAGATGCTTTGCTGTTTCCACATGACATACTGTCTCCAATATGATTACATATTTAAATATAATACGACTTGAAATATTCGCAAACGTAACTTGACTTGAATCTAACTACGTCTAATCACTGATAAAAACATCACAAAAATATAACAAACGACCAGAAAGTTACAATACCTTTATTGGGGTGAAAGAAAAAGTGCAAACCCATAAATACCATTTCGTACATCAGGACCGTCACGGTACTTAGTTGCAGTTATAAATTAACTAAACAACATTTCTAAGTACGCGGAGTACGACTGCATAAACACTTTGTTAAAAATGACTACACAGCCAGTTGAATGCGAATTTATCTGCCTCTTAAACACGTTTTGTTAGAAAGCTACTTCATATTACTTATGTGCGTGTACTTTAAGTTCCCTAGTACAACCATTACTTCACAAACTAAAAAAACATTCAAGTCTAGCTACAGAGGGTATTCTTGACTAACGACTGTAGTTGAGCTGCACAGCGACAACCCTGTACCATACATCACTGTAATGGCCTCCCAACTGCCCATTATTACCTCATTATACAATAAATGGTTGGCCATTTGCTCGACTCCTCTACAAGGGAAATATTACCCCGCTAACTCATTTGACTGTTTGATAATTTGTAACGCTTGAGCCTACGACGCGCCGCGAGCTAGTCTGGCTATTGTTGATGAACGAAGCGTTTTCTTTGGCTGATTGCTTGTTTGCATTTCATTGCGTATGCAAACAATGTGGTATTTTAGCGATGCGGTGACGCTTTTGAATAATTTTTGATGAATAAGGGAGAGAAAGTTAGGGTTTTGGGACTTTCTAAATCGATTTGTTAACTTCGTTTGTACATAGACGTTGTATTATTGTCTGGTTTTAAAATTCTGTACATAATAAGGGGGAGGTTTTAAATAGAGTGTTTCGATATATTTCACTTCATATTTAATATGTATCCTTTTCATTAAATTACTTCTTGATCAGCATTAAATTACCTTACAAAAATACGTCAAATAACACGGTTGACAATAACACAAGTTACAAGTGTTATTTAACGTATTTTTGTACTTTTAGGTACTTTTAATTGTAGCCTAACCGTTAAAATATATTTTTCTTTACTGCTACAACCTAACTCTTTCACTTAAATCGTTTGCTAAAAATTGCGTTTTTTAAGTAATACGATTGCTTAAAACATCTTTTTGCTAGGCCTACCTAAATCATAATGTTTTCTGGTAAAAAAAATCCTTGGCTAAAATCCATCAACATGAAAAGACCCGATTAAAAATATAACAAGATAACTATTCCAAACCAGATCGTTAACGGTTGAATGTAACGGTTCTTGTATCTGTGCGTGTTGCGACGATTGTCTATCACGAGACTTTTGCCCCGGAGGACACAAAACTTGTACTATAATATAACAGGTCGGATTGCTGGCTGTAGGAGGCATGATTAGTGGCACGCATGTCCCTACTCAGGTGCTTGGGGTGACCAACAAGAACACACCTGTCCAATGATACAGAAATATATGATTAATTCGAAAACAATTATTTTCTCGTTTCTTAAATTTACCTTAATCACCTCTTAAATTGAAATCGTGAACACTACTCTTCAAAAAACCACTATATCTGATAAAACAGCTGTCCTTGGGAGATTTGTAACATACAAGCCACAAAAATAAAAATCAGAAGGTCCTTGATCACTTGAGTCCAGCATGATCTTCACATATGCTTCCCGACGCACTGCTCCCAATTTTCTTGTTTAATCATCGGATAAACTAAATGGATATTTACTACAGGTGTTTGTTACAATACGATTCGGGAGATACGGAAACTTCTAATAATTAACCTCCTTAATAATTTATCCTTCCCAATCATGGACTTTAAACTCACAAAATGTTTTAGTATTGCTTAAACAAGACACATGGTACATACAAATACCGTGGTCATCGATTTGGAGACTAAAGACAGAGACAAGCAGTAGAAACCATTATATTCAGATGTAAAATTAGTTGATAGTGAATAATTTGAATAACTCACCAGCTTTGGCGAAGGCTTGGGCGACAAGACATAAGGAACACAGCAACCACAGAGACGCTCGCACCATCTCGCCCTGAAACATTCAGTTATAAATATAATATAAAACACATTGCAACTAAAATATCAATTGACAAGTTTTGATAAATTTATGCGTTAAGATAATTTGTAGTATGGTTGTGCTGTGTAGTGTTTGGTGGACTGTACATGTACAGGACACGTCTAACAGTGTTTTCCCTAAACTTCTTCCCTTAACTTATAGCAACATTTTAAACCCAGATCAAAATATTTCGTCCAAAGTCTTTTTGATGTTAGAAACGTTTATATATTCGTACAACATTGGTATTTGTCATTCAAAGTCCATTCGAACTACAACTACATTCGTCAGCCTTACAAATTATATTGGACAAGGTTCTTTGTACTGCTTAGTCAAATAAAGACGGATGTGTATTTCACGTCTAGCGTATTTTTAAGCATTTATCTTCAGAATCGGAATAATGTTAGACTTGAGCGTCAACGGGAGTAATTTGACACGACCGTCCAGCAACGCCCAGTTTCAAAATCGAAACCGGGACCTAAACTGCGGTGAGGTGACGGACTCAAATGTCACATTAATGACCCGCTGTGTGGGGGTTGGGGGGGGGCTAAAAGTGTCGCCTGATCACAAACTGGCCCATGGCCATGTTGCTTCACTGTGACAACTTTCAATCTATTGGGATTTCTTGAAATTTAAAGGTAGAATTTCCGGTTTTATATCGTTATTTTGGTTATTGCATTGGCCCTATTCAAGAAACGACGATTAGTCAGGAATATTAAAATGTTACGAGAGTGTTTATTTTATGTTTTGTTATGTTATGTTTATGTGTTGGTCCTTTTTTGGTTTGTTTGTAGCATTTATGTTATTCCAGTTGGATAATATTTATTTATCTCACGCGCGCATAACGTGTTGCGACCATACAATTTCACTTACATAAAAAATATAAAAAAACTACAAAGTAACAGCAATTTAGTAGACTAAATTCTCAACGATTAAATTCTCCTACGTGGAACAAACATAAATTAATTATCTACCAACCATTAGGGCAAGAGAGGAGGATATTAATGCATTCGCAAGTCCATTCAAACACAATTCCATCCAAATTTAATTAAATCAAAGACATTTTAAAATAGTTATCAAGAATGTGAGTACATCTATTAAAAGTTTTAACAAGCTGTCGTTTTGGTTCCAGATTAGCCTTAAACAAAAAGATATATTGATCCCGGTATAAGTCTTACCCCAGTTATACCATAAAAACACGTTAAATGTTATATATACAGTATGTATAGTAAGGTAATTTTATCTATCCTCACATTTTTAACTGTTACAAAGTCACATTATGCTAAGTAAAATATAAGTTTTCTGCTTATTATTCTACCTTCTTAATGTGTGTATGATAGGCCTTGTGACAATTGAAAACGATTTTCAGGAGAATAATTTCATGCCATCAAGAACTTTTTATCAGATGCACGCAGGTATAGTTAGCCTAAACACACATTACAACCATTGCGAATTGCGACCCTGTTGAACGAGTAACGCAGGAAGGGCGTTCTGCAGAGACATTTAATACCAGATGGTCGAAACAACTGTAATTATTTCCAAGCACTTTATCAAGACAACAATGGGGTGGTCCGGTCTTTACGATATCTTTATTTATATAATTACCTCCATCAGATCTTACCACTCACTTTATTCGGCTGTAAATTGAGAAATTAAAACTGGACCTCACAGCAGTCCAATTTATAACTCTATATAAAAGATAGAATCGAAACACAATCGAGTTGTACGTGCGCGGAACAAGCGGACAAGTGGAATTGAAATGGTTTAGAATGGAACAGGAACAGGGGAATGTGAGATGATCTGGTTGTAGCTGTCAAGGTTAAGGTTGAAATGGTCGTTAAAGCATTACGTAATGAAACGAATAGGCACTGTTTAGAGGTTACTAGTAATGTCTTGGTAGGTACATGCTAGTAATGCGTGTTATGTAAGGAGTCGATACTTGGTTATCATGAGCTAGATATCGTGAATTTATCTAAATTTAAAGTTCCAAATAAACCAATCTTATGTCGGGGTTCAACACTACGGTGCTGTTAATATTTGGTTATGATGGTATTGTTTGATGAAGTGAATTAATCAAAATATAAACGTCTAAAGATTTTAATGGGGTTTTAATTTGAAAACTTAAGCATTTATTAATTTCCATACCATATTTCCCCCAATAGCACTTCAGTATTATGGAGATATATTTGTATGCATTATATTTAACATTCGTCTGAGCTATCCGGGCTCCCTTCAAAGGTACAAGGTCTGCGTAGGGCAATGATTTATATCTACGATTTAGATTCTGCGCACTGGTGTTGGATGGCCTATGCGAGACTATTCTTTCGTATTTCTAATGTATATGTATTGTAAAAATTTTTGAAATCAAACAGATTTTGATTTAATTTAGTATTCAGTGTACAAAACTGTACCTTAATACAGGATATTTGATTTGATGCTTTATCTTAAAATCCCTTTTTCAATGATTGCTGTTTTAAAACTTATACAAATCAACAATTTGTTGAATAAGCCATATTATTTGGTTCTATCGACTAAGTGAAACATTTCACCATGAACTCACTGTTGGAACAAGCACCAAGTTGTAGACTATATCAAACTTGTACACATCATCAATCTACCTTCTGAGAACCTACCCACCCATCTAACCGCTTCATTGACAAACCACGTGATCCATTTACCATGTTCTCTGGACCACTGAGCCGCCCGTCAGTCCCAGACCTCCCAATCATCGTCACGTCGGATGCCCGATGACCGCTTCCGCGTGTCCAGTGTCCAAGACCTGTTTTAGTAGCCCGAGGTCGATGTCCCTCGGTCTCAGTTTCGAGCCAAATTTGCGTTCAGAAGCGACCACTTGGACGATCCTTCATCGCTCCGACACTCCCGCCTCCCCCCCTCTCACACCATCCATCCTCTCTTCTACATGCGTTATGTTCCCAAGCATATTTCGTTCAGGCATGGGTAAGAGAAATAAAACTATTTTTTTCTGCGGTATCCTAAAGGCATAAATTACATCATTGAGATGGTTAAAAAATCAGAATCAAGCGTATTATTTGTGGATGATAGACACTATTCGTTTTGAATTCCAATTCCCCCAACATAAATTTATTAATTGAAAATGTAATGCGATATAGGTTTTACAGTCAGCGATGTAATCAAATACGACTGAATTTACGGATATCCTATCGCCGAATATATTACTTCGCTCCTTCAAACCAAAAAGTCCGTTGATTCAACGATTTTCAAGTTCTTTTTCATTGAAAACTTTGCTTCTCCTTCTAACAAGCACTGTATTTTAAGTACTCTAGCGGTAGGCTAAAAAGTAGAATAATTTAAGATAATTCTTTAAACTGCTATATAAGAACATGAATTCGTTATAAGTATGCAATTCCACCTTCAAATTCGAAGCTTGGTGGTTATATCCCGAGCCGCATCAATTCTGAACCTAGATGTAATTTTTCGTTGGACTATTAATTATAACAACAGGAGGACGAAGGTAGTAAAGTAGAACCTCCACAGCAAGTTTCTAATGGGATAATAAAACCACTTGTCATCAAAGTAGACTTCTTATCGAGGTTTTGCTATAACATGTGAGTAAAGGTTACACTAATTCAAGAGTATTAGAAAATTACACTTATTATCAAGGGTGATCTGCTATTAGGAGTATTATCATTGAGGATCCACTGTATCAGGACCAGGATTTGGTTAATTCACTTACCACATAAAAAATGTCTCTGGCAAAAACAATACAGAAATGTTTATAATCCTGCAGGCAGTGCTTATTACAAACCATTATCCTTAACACTTAGCGAGCCGCAATTGCATTATCTGAGATCCATCACGGATACCAGTGCTACACCTGCCAAGGTATCACTGCCATCACGATCACGATATCTGCTCATGTCCTTGTATCTTGATAGCATCTGCTGTGTCGTGGCAGTGGCGAACATTTGTCACCTGTTATTACAATGGTTTGTCATTGTCTGGGGATGTTTCCATTTACAATTACACAGTTGAGTAGGAGGCCGCTTTATGACGTCTTATTTAATATACAGTCGTGGACATTAACAAGGATTTTCCTGGTTAACTACGTTGATGTTAACAACGTCAAAGATTTTGTGGTTGGAGTTAAGGTTGTTTCAGACAATTTTCGAATAAAAAGATTATTTTAAAAAGTTATCTTTTTCGAACTTATTTTTTGTCTATTTACTTCCTGCACAATATTAAGGTAGCCTTCCAAACCTATGTATTCTTAACATATAACATCAACCTGTTCAAAGTCTCATTAACTAATAGACCAATAACAATTGGCAACTAGTATATGAATTGATTCTTTCATGACCACACCACCAACACTTCGAATTCGAGCAATAAATTGATTGGAAGACCTAATTAGTACTTAATCGACAGTACTTTCATGCTATTGTAAAATTTTTTGGCAACTGTGTGCTAAGGTCATTTATTCTCACGCACTATAAGTTATAAGTTTTATAAAGTGAAATAAATGTAATTTAATTATTTACGATAAGTACAACGCGTATTACATTCACAGGCTCGTGAGACGTGCAGGTGCCATGTTAGGAAACCTACCAACAGAAACCAAATTAACTAACTATTTACAAGAAATTACATCCTATAACAGCCAACACTATCAAAACAAGTCGTAAACTTCAATTAGAGCCCAGAACCACGACAGAGCGTGTGACAGGCGATTCTCCTCTTCAGTAAGTTTCCAGGTTTACGTTTCTCGCCTTTATCTAATCAGATAGTCAAGGTCACAAGGTATCACGTGACCCCGCTATCTCCTGAGTATTAGCTGGTATTAATCACCTGGACATTCTATGGTAGTTACGATGCATTGGTAAGGTGGTCATTATTGCTTATCAGCCTCCTATAAGGACTGGCTGCTTTACCATCCGTTAGGGTTTATCCTGGGCGTATATCCTGCCTGCTGCCCACAGGTAGAAAGCGGTATTGTATGT